GAATCAACAGCCTGGACATGAAACGAGGATACCCGCCTTGACCCTCCAAAGGGCGGCATCCTCTGAGACTGATAACGGCCACCATCACCGAGACCATAAACTCAATGTAGACCGTCACGGTGACCCCTTCTTTGGTAAACGGCTGTCTACGCAAAATACGCCTTTTTCTGCAGCTTCAGTGGAAACAAGCGGTACTGCGCCCGAAGTGTCTGAGGCCAAGGCTGTGAGCTTATATCCTCATCAGAACTCATCCGTGCTTGTCGTCAACCACTCCAACAAGCCGTCGGAGGACTCTGAGGATTCGCAGACCGAGAGAGAGTTGCCTCAAACGCTTCAGAGGCCGACGATTATTACGACAGGGCCAGACGACGAGTGTCCAATCACACCCTCACAGCCTCAGCATTCCATGGACGACGTTGATTCACCGCTCCGCAATCCTCGCGCGGCCCCCCCTGTCCCTCCGATTAATCCTCCTGCGATTCAGTTCATACCCGCGACGCCTTCGGGATTAACTCCCAATCATGAGAGACAACGCAATATGGGGAATTATTTCGAGGCAATGGAGGAGGAACAACCTCAGCGTAGTAGATCTGTTATCAAAAGGGCATTGGTCCGACGACGAAACTCGGAGACGTATCCGCCCAAGAGTGGCCGACCTGGGCTCCTTACTAGAACCTTTTCTCTGACGAGAAGAGGATCAAGCTCTGGGACCCGTGGTGACGACCATTCTGCTGTTGAAGAGCCATGCTCGTGCCCGGAATGCATGGCCCCGCCGCCCGAGGACGACCGATTGCACCCGCACTGGCGTCCTGCCTACTCAGATCAGGAAGACGACGTGTGGGAGAGGGAAATGGAAGACGAGCCTATCAGCCAGGTCTACCGATACCCTCCTATTGACAGTCGCCCGAGCCCGCGAAGACGGATTAGCGAGCGGGTGAAGAAAACGTTTGCTATTCTTCCTGCTCGTGGCGAGGATGACGTCTACTCTGGATCTCAAAACGAGCCTGACCGCCGAACCATTCGCCGGACAGATAGCGGGAATCTTCGGGTTATGAGACGCCGCGGCAGCCTCGACTCTCTCCGCGACCAATCCCCACCTACCTCAGGGCCTTCCATGAGGCAGAACGACGATCGCGACGCAGACGGCCCACCAAAACGAAGACGTCGTTTCTCGATTTCGGGCACTTTGGAAGGGCTGCAGAACCTTCCACGACAGCTGAATGAGCGTAAGCGAGAGAAGAGGACCCAGGAGCTGAGACAGAAGATCAGCGGGCCGCGCGAAGTAAGAGACGGCATGGGCGACGTCCTTCGACGGAACTCGTACCGCGGCCCTCCAACCGAACAAAACAACTTGCCGGTCGCACATTTTTGATGCGATTGCAACGTACAAAATTTCCTGAGTATTTCAGATGACATCCCATCTGGAGCACCTTTCAACGCGTAATATATCTGGGTATGAAGCACAAAAGGAGGGTGCTGGAGGAAATGAAACGGGACCATTACGACTGCTACGAACGAACGCCCTTTTTCTTCATCTTTACGACTACAGAAACTTTCTAACGACACAAAGAACTGTTTTCTTCGCGGATTTCGGAGCTGATGACGGGGGGACGGATGGCAAAGCTTTTAACCTTTGAGACTTTGACGACGATATTGATGACAATGATTTCTGGGACTGGGGGGGATCCGGTTTTTGATGAACGATTGAACGCGCGCGCTGTCTGCTACAGATAACGAAGGGACGTCTTATTATTGTATCATATAGAAAAAAAATTGCTCGTCAAGATACTACTTTAACTAAAAGGTTTCGGAACGAATTTTGGCCCATTGTCTGGGTTGTGCAGGATGAGCTTTTGCTTCTATGTGTTTTGATTGAATGTGATATACCATGTCCATGTCATGAAAACCAAAGTTTTTGATACACCCTTTTGCCCTGAATATGACGCCTAAACACCAATCCCACTTGTACCAAGAAGACATGCGCCCCAGATAATGCAGTATGCTGTGACCGAGATGGTCCCAAAGCATTCTACCGCCTGTCCTGACCCGGAGGTCCGCCGCCGGGCGGGAAGGCACCAGGAGGTCCAGGCGGGAACGCGCCGCCGCCCGGCATACCGGGGAACTGGAAGTTGGGGGGCAGACCGCCCGGCGCGCCCGGGGGCGGGAAGGGGAGGCCGGCTGGGAGACCGCCGGGCGGGGGGAACGGTAGGCCTCCTGGGGGCATTGGTGAGCCGTTGGGGCCCGGGGGGAAGGGGGGCATGGGTGGCATTCCGCGTCCTGCTTGTCCTGGGGCTGTTGTGATTTTCGGTGTTAGTCTTGTTTGGAAAGGCTATCGAACAGAGGTTTTTGGCGGGACTTACGTGGGATCATGCCTTGAGGAAAGGGAGGTGCGCCGGCGGGCATGCCGGGGAAGGGAGGAGGGACACCTAGAGAGGGGTTCAGGTCAGTGCTTTGATGCAAATGTGCCCCGTCGCAGTGATGAGACGGCGCTGAGAGAGAGGGTGAGGGAGGTGAGTACGAACCTCCTGGGAAGGGGAACGGCGGCGGGAAAGCCGATCCGGGCTGGTTTTGTGGCAGCATTGGATTATTGTGTGCTTGACCTTCGGCGGCGTAGGAGGAGGTGATGGAGTCGATGACGGACTGAGCCTTTTCGTGACCGATTTCTGGAGAGAAAGGGCGCATGTTAGCTTCTGATGTGCCACGATGGATGCGCAAGTAACGGAATGAGGAGGGGAATGAGGAGGGAATTGAGGGGGAGCCGTACGTTGGTAGTAATCGACGACGTTGCGCAGGTGGTTTCGACCGCTGTTGTGCGCCTTGCGCACGCTCATGGAGTCGTGCGTGAGGTACACATCGCAGTAATCGCCTAGAATCGGAGAGTCCAGGTCAGTTCGGTTGAATAGCTTCGCGGGCGATCGGGGTTTGATTGAGACGTACAGAAGACTGGGATCTCATGTTAGCTTGGTGTTTGCAGAGGTACTTGGAGGGATTCGGGACTCACATTTGGGCATCTTGACGGCGGTATCTCGTTGGCGAGCAGAAGCTGTGCTAAATTCGCGAGGTTCCGATTACGCAGCAGGTTAGGAGACAAAACCAGGTTCCTGAAGCTGCAATGCCGCTTTTGTCGCATCGCGATGTTGGAAAGCGGCCGACGCGCCAAACGCCACACCCAAAAAGCTGCGAGGCTGTCGCTCTCACGTGAGTACCAAGGCACAAGGCTGCCCCGCCCACCGACTCCAATTGGCCAGAGCGCTTGACCTCTACCCGTTCGACAGGGGTCCTCAATGTGGGTCCAGGCCTTTTCGAACGCGACAGATTTCCAAAAATCCCCAAAGGTGGTTCCTTGAGGCCCATAGCTCTCCTATCGCAGTTGTGTCCTCGTTAGCCCAGGGAGCTCCTTTACGACGCAATTCCCAACAACCCACGCCCAGGCTGTTCTCCCCGCCCGCCCCTTCTCCTCCTCAACCACGACGGTCGCGACACCCGAATCGATCGAATACTTGTTGGAGTTCTCTTCGAACTTGAGACGGACCTTTTCTGCGTATTAGCCATGGCACCGACGACATCATTGCTGCGCTACGTGTGCGGTCTTGTGCTCCTCGCCTGCTGCGCTCAGGCGCTCAGATTCGACCTGCATGCTACGAGCACCCACGAGGGCAAGAAGGAGCGATGCATCCGCAATTTCGTCGCTAGGGACACCTTGGTCGTCGTCACGGCTATTGTGGATGGTTCAAAGGGTGACGGCATGACCGTCAACATGCACGTATGTGGCCTGAACTTCTATGCCCCCTACGCCATCCTCCCCGATGTTGGGACTTGATCTGAGAAGAGATGGAGGCTTTTCGGAGATCGGGGCAGAATAGCAACAAGGGAGAGGATTGGGTGAAAGAGGAAATTGTTTGCAATCGCAGCTTGGCTAACGATGAGTGACTCTCTAGATCAAGGACGCTGTTGGCAACGACTACGGAAAGCCAAAGGACATTGCAGGCGGCGAGAAGCGTGTTGTCTTCACCTCCCACGCAGACGCCGCTTTCGACGTTTGTTTCGAGAACATCCTCACTGGCTGTACGTCTCATCCACCCACCCCTATACTCACGCACATTGCAATGTCAATGGCTTGAAACCCTCTACTTGCCCAATTGTCCTTGACTGCACCCCTTGAGAAGAGCAAAAGAACCACGAAAGCTGACAAGAGTGACTTAAACCAATAGCCGGCCGCAGCGGCGCAACGAGCCGCCACATTGAACTCGACATCGACATTGGCGCCGACGCAAAGGACTGGAACGCCATCCAGGCGACGGAGAAGCTCAAGCCCGTCGAGGCGGAGCTCAGGCGCATCGACGAGCTCGTCAGCGAGATCAACACCGAGATGGACTACCTGCGCGCCCGCGAGCACAAGCTGCGCGACACCAACGAGAGCACAAACACCCGCGTCAAGTGGTTCGGCATCGGCACAACGCTCATCCTCGTCGGTCTGTGGGGTTGGCAGATTATGTACCTGCGGGCATACTTCAGGTTTGTTGCTTGCTCTATTTTGCTATGCTACTAAGGAAGCTCTGGGTATGCTAACCATGCGATATCACGACAGATCCAAGCACCTGATTTAAACGCATACATCAGTGTAGTGAAAAAGGCAGTAAGCCAATGGCTTGCCAACAGCGTAAAGGAGTTACGGAAGATAAGAGATGTTGCACCGCCGCACAGCGGTGATGATGAGAGTCTCTGTGATGCCATTGGAAGCATCAAAAATCACCTCGGGGGTTTCGAGTGTGTATTAGTGTATGCATACATACGACGGTCACCATAAAAGTCATGAATGATATAACGCAAATTACATTACAGCAGAATCTGCTTATGACATGTTCACTGTCACTGAGATAAGGCTGGCAAATAGGATTTTTCTAAGCTGGAGGCGTGTGCCTGCAATGTCGGCCGACCCCTCGACCTTCCGCGTTGCCAATGTCGGCACGGCGAAATCAGTCTTCACTCCAATGACTTATGCACCGTTCCAGTAACATGTCTATTCTGGGGACTCTAACAGTAGCCTCCGGTCGCTGTCAAATTACAGATGTGTACAATTTCGCTCGACGTGCTAGGTGTTTCCAACGAAGTCTTACAGCGAGCCTTTGCACCTCTCAAATGTGCGCTACTTCTCCGCCCCTAACCATGCAATGAGGGCTTCCAATGAAGCCGTCTATAACGTACCATGCTCCCATAATTTTACCCTCCCCGCCCAAGATGATATTTCCTGATAGATATTGGTACAATGTCTCAAACCTCTCTCCCTAGAGCTCGTCGGCGCATCACACGGCCATAAAACCCCTTTCTAATTCTTCTTGCCAGCGCTGTCGACGTCAAACAGAGGCGGCATAAACCCAAGCCCACCCTCCTTACGCTCCTGCACATCCCGGTGCACACCAACAGTGCCGTCCGCGCGCCGGCTCCGCACGTGGGCCCTCAGCATCTCCAAAATCTCGCTACCCTGCCACCGCACAGGGACGGGGCGGTACTGCGCCTTGAAGGAGCCGACGGTGTTGGCCCACTCGCCGGGGACGTCCTGCGTACGGACGTCCTCCTTTGGCTTAGAAGTCTTGCCGGAGTCGATTGTCGAGGCGGCGCCGGAGCCGACGGGGCGGTAGGACTCTGCTGCGTTGACGGTGGAAGAGGCGAGGGTGTCGTTTGACGAGGACGACGAGGTCTTTGTAGTCGAGGCCGAGGCGGAGGGGGCTTCTTCCTGGGTGGCCCAGTAGTAAATGTCCCAGTCGTTCTCGTCGAGGAAGAGGTCGTACTGCGCCATTTGGGACTTTGTCATGTGCGGCAGGTGTTCGTTGGCGAAAGTCGACATGAGGAGGTCTGATTCGAGGGTTCCGCGCTTGCGGGACTGGTCTGTTTTCGCAGGGCAATGATTAGTTTCTTGGGCTTTGGTGTCTGGATCATTCTCTGCTCTGCCCTCCTTTTGCTTCTGCTAGGGAGTTGAGAGGACAACACAGAAAAGGGGAATAGAAAGAACTCACAAAGGAGACGGGCGCGCATGGTTCGCTCGTCCTCGCCCTGACGCCGCAGCGGCTCGACGCGGAACTTGATGCCCTCGAACTCGCCGACGCCCAGCTCGCTGTTGACGGCGGACTCGGTGTAAATGGGAGGCTTGTCGGCGAAGCATCTGCGGAGGATCATGGGCGCCGCCGTTGTGGTCGGTGCCGGCGCCGTGACGCGGAGGCGGCGAGCCGGGCGGAGGGCGCGGGCTACTGTCGACATTTTTTTTTTCTTGCTACTCGGTTCAGAGTGGTGATGGAAGGGGATAGTCGATTCCGACGTTCCGTTTGTGCAAATGTCAAGGTTGTTCGGTGGTGAAATGTGTATACTGGGTGATTTGTCTGACAAATTGGACGCTGTGATAGGTGCGAGGTCGGTTTGGACGTTACCGAGGTAGAGGGGGGACGACGAATGAAGCAAACTCACTTCTCGTCCGTAATTCGCCTCGAAAACTGTACAGGACCCTTGGTTTCGATGCTGCAATGGAAGCTCGGACCGTACGAAAATTTACAGTAGAAAATGGTTACCAACACTGTATGACGGTTCGATCTTGACGGACACGCGGAAGCGGCTTGGATCGTGCACAGTACATGGGCGCTGCAGATAGTAGAGGCATTGATAACAGTATCCTTGCGTAGTTCTTTATCCAGATCGAAACGGGTCAAGTTTCTGACTGGCAAACCGAATGTATCTGCCGAGTTTGTGGGGAAAAGATCTAGAGTTCGTAGGCAGTCATGGTAGTGTATGGTACAGCGATGCCCAAAAGCTGGGTCTCGTCGCATTAGACAACATCACTGATTTTGAGCTACCTTGTAAGCCGAGTGAAAGAGAGAAACATCCCCTACATTGCGACTCTATCATCAAACACCAGTATTGATCCTATTTGGCCCTATAAGAACCGATCCACACGAATTGAAGAACGGCATCATCACGGGACCATACTACAGAGTCGTGGGTAGCGAAAGAACATGTGGGTATTTGGCTAAATGAAAACTCCGTTCGAGATGCAGTCTGTACCTCTCAAATTCCATCCCCAAAAAGCCCGCCTCCAGCGCCAATTCCATGCCAAGACAAGCATCGAAAGAGAAGGAACGAGACCGTTGTGTCCGCCAGTCCCTCCAGAGATGGACCCCCATCTCGATAAACAACCCCCTTCAGGGAAGCCAATTCAAAAAAGAGAGGAATGAACCTCGCCACCCACCCAAACCACCACAATTTCATATCAGTCATTATACCCCCCTTCTCCAAGGTCGGTCGTCATTAAGAAAAAAGAAGGAGAGAAACGGCGGCGTTGTGTGTGTAATAGCAATCGTTCCCTTCATTCCCCGTCCTCTGGTAAAATCCTCCCCAGGCTGCGGAGCACCTCCATAACGGGCATCTCCTTGGTGCCCGCGTTGGCCTTCTCCCTCGCCTCCCGCTCCTTGAGCCGCGCGGCGCTGAGAGAGAGGACCTTATCCGCCTCTCGGCCCGCCGTGTCGACGCGTTGGGAGAGCTTGTGTATGCCGTCCGCAAGCTGGTCCACCTTAAACTCCAGCGTTGACTGCGTGTTTTGCAGGCGGGCGAGCGTCTTGGCGCGGACATTTTCAAACGAGGATGCCGGGTGGGTGAGCCAGTTCAGCATTTCTGCCTCGTTCGGTTCGAGGATCGATGCGTCGACTACTGTTGCTGTTTGTGCTCTGTCTGTTTCTGAGAAGAGTGGCGGGATATCCGGACGCGGTTTGTTTAGCGCCAGCCATTTCTTCTTTTCTAATTTTAACCTGAGGCTTGTTAGTCCCTGCCTCCTCATGAACTCGGGGATATGGAAAATGTACCTTTTGACTTTTTGTTCCAGTTGCTCGATTTTTTCTTGATGTTCAAGATTACGCGGGTTTGGAAGGTACACCACGGGCTTCTTTGGCCCCTCTTCTTCTCGACTGAACCAGTCTGAAAATTCTGACTTTGTAGAGAAGTCCTTCAAGAGCTGTTCCTGAATATAGCGGGCTGAAAAAGAGTTAGCTTGGGTACGGGTTTCCAAGGATTCGTACTTTACTCACCACCCAAAACAGTATTGGAATCTGTCTGGCCATGGGGCGGTTTTTGCAGTAATGCTCGTTCGCCACACCACGTCAATAGCTGCTTCATCCGTCTTGGTTCCATGAGACCCTCCGACTCAATGTGCTTGTAAAATTCTGCAGTTTCAACCTCTCGGTGGGGTATCGCGTTATGTCCACTCTCAATCAGCGAACTTGCTCTCCGGCCGCGCATACCCGTACTGCTCCTACGATTGCCCCCGCCCTTCTTCCTCATTTCCTTGTTGCGATTGATAACAGGCGTGTCGCTGACGGGAAGCGTGATTTTTGCAGACTCAACTGGTTCTTCAATGGCGAGTGGCGTCCGCCGCCTATTCGGCTCCGGCTCTCTCGGTGTAGCGCTGTTAACTCCATCGTGCTCTTCTTCTTCCTCCCCCTCCTCCGGTACTGGTTCTGGTTTCCTGGCGGGCTTTGCCTTTTCTGTTTTCCCAGTCGAACTGCGCGTGCTTCGGCTCGTCGTGCGCTTAGGCGCAAACAATTGCAGCTCATCGTCCTCCACCGGCTGCGTGCTCGCTGTCCGTCGCGTTCGCGGCTTTGATGATGTCGCTGCCTTTGGCACTACTACTGATGGCTCGGGCTCGGGCGCCTTCGCTGCCGCCGAAGAGCGTCCTTTTGCTGGCCTTCCTCTTCCAGACTTTTTCGGGGGTAGTGGCGCAGGTTCAGGTTCAAGTTCAGGTTCGGGTTCTGGCTCCGGTTCTGCGTTCTTAACTCGCTTCGATTTGGACCCGCGCGTGAAGTGGAAGTCGCCATCCTGCTCGTCGTAAACCGATGAAGCTGCGCGTCGTTTTAGCATCATCCTCGCCCCATGCCCGCGCTCCTCCAACTCACCCGCAAGACGCTTGCTTTTCCTTCTCTCTGGCTGCTCGTTGCTCATGCTAATGACTTGCAACGGGTGACGGGTGCGAATGACGGTCGTCATGGATGGCGCGTTAAATGAAGCATGCGATCGAGAGACAAAAGGTGGCGCTCGGAGTAGGAATCGGGAAGTCGCGCCTCGAGGCAATCGAAAAGCGCGTCAACTGGCGCGTGAAAAATCCAAGGCGACCGAAAATTCGGTGCGGTTTTGCTAACTTCCAGTCTTGTCAGAAGGGCGGTCGGCGGGGTGCTGTCGTGATTTTCGCGTTTCTGCGGGTGTGGTAGTCGGCGGCGCGAGGCACGAAGTTGGGGTGCTCTTTCGCTACGATGTTGTTTACAAGAGTGAGGGATGATTTACCCGAGCAGTCCCGCTAGTCCGTTTTGGGAACCCACTCTCGACCACTCACAATCCTGGAACATGACTGCCTCACTTACATCACTTCCACAGTTCCACTCACCGCTGTCGACGGGTTGACCCGTTGCCTCCTAGTATCCAGTTACAAATCGGCTCGCGGTTCATTATGCCGTTTAAGATTGTTGGCATGTTAATGTATACACATGTCAGAAAGAAGAAAAAATTGATGCACTTTCTCCAAGATCTTGCAGTACTTCTTAAACTCATAATGGCGCGAAGTCTCATAAATTAAATGACCACGAGGCGTTGCCGTTCATGCAGCTCTTGTTACCATTGCTACTATAAATCCGTTCAAATCAATCAGCCGGCAGAAGATGGCGTATTCCCATCGACCACCCCTCGACGCCTACACCCTTTCAAATGACTTGCCGACCCTTGAACTCCTTTTGATGTATATGCCCAGTATCTAGCCCTTCCAATGACGGACTGATACAATTGCAGCAAGCCAATGACGCCTGCCAAACTCCCCGCCTCCACCTACCCAAGGTGAACTGCCTCTGTTACTGGACAGCTTATCCCTGGTTGCTTGCAACCCCATCGTAGAAACGAAGTGAAGATATTGGCGCAAGAATGTCGTATATAATGATGATACAATTGAGCCGTAAGATGACTGGGCCGTAGAATGGAACAGCATGAAAGTCGTAATCCCGATGTCGCCACAGGCTATTCGAGAGCAGCAACCTCGACGGGTTGTTATTGATGACTCGAATCCTCCAACTCCTCATATTCGAAATGATTGTTGTACAGGGCCTCATCATCCTATGAAAAGCGGCGTTGCACACCCTGACCCGCCGCCAAGACTTGCTGGTTGGGAATAGGAGCGGCCATACCATACGGGTTCATCTGAGGGTTGAATGGCTCCATGGCCTGTTGCATGAACGCACCGTGAAGGCCTTGCTGTTGCGTGACAGGACAGTCTTTGTGAGCCAAAAGTAGTGTCTTGAGGTTCACGACCTCCTCGCGCAACTGCGTGATCTGAGCTGTGAGGGCATCGTTCTCACTGCTGAACAGTTCCACCTTTGACTGGAGGTTAGCCAGCCACTGCTTCTTGCGCTGGCGACACTTAAGTGCGGCAACTCTGTATAGGGATTAGCGAGGTCTCGCAGGGAGCGAATACCATAGGTTGGAGTTTACCTGTTACGTTCCAAGAAGTTCTTGCGCTTCTCCTCGTCAGTCATCTTTGACTTTCCGCCTTCACCATTCTCATGTTTCATATCGTCGTCATCCGACTGACTATCATCTCCCATCATGTCAGGAGGGGGAATATTGTTGTTCGGCTTTGACTTCTTAGCGGGCGGTGCTTTGGCCGGTGGCTCTTCAGCCTTTCTACGGCCATTTGTTGATGCGCCGCCAGTCGAGTTGCGCTTGCCCTTGCCCCTGGCTGCGGGACGGGCTTGCTCACTTTCATCCGACATCGCACTTCCGCCTTCGCTAACGCCACGGACTGACGAGCCGGCACCGACAGATCCAGCACCGTTAGCACTCATTTGAGGTGACGTGTTTACGCCTTGAGCAGGAGGGGGAGGTGGGTGAGCCTGGGCTTGCGCTTGTGTTGCCGCGAATCCGCCGTTTGGAGCACCGTTTCTACCCTGTGCGCCTTGAGCAAGCATAAAGAGACCGTTCGCTGCGTCGTTATCGTGCGGGTCAAACTGCTTTGCTTCGGTCTTGACAGCGGATGCACCGTTTGGCATCTCCTGCGGCTGCGACGTCACCGCTGTCTGCTGCTGGTTGTGGTTCTGTGTCTGATTCTGGGGTTGAGTTTGATTTTGGTTCTGGTTTTGGTTCTGGGCCTGCGTGTCACGCTTTGCAGCGGCACTTAACGCAGTGCGATGGAAATCGATGGTGCTAGGAGTAGCACCGCCACTAGCCAACTGAGCAAAAAGTTGCTGTGAATTGGGGCTTGGGGCAGGGAACATGGAACCACTGCCACCAGGAGTCAAGCCAGTTCTCAATGAAGACTCGTTCGGGGTTGGGAATCCGCCACGAAGATGATGCGTATCGCTGAAGTAGTCGCTGGTAGGACCTGACAACATGGCCGGGCTCAAAGGACCGGTTCGTAGAGAACCTCCTCCCCAGTTGAATGGAGTTGCGCCGCTACCAGGGAGCAACGAAGATGGCGAGGTCAGAGCAGCAACGGATGGCAATTTCGTACCACCTGGTGTCTCTGGCGCGCCTCCGCCGAAAGACTGCTCGAAAGGATTGGGCTCCAGACTGAGAGAGGCGGCTCCGGCGCCGAAGTAATCGGGAGTATTTCCAGTCGTCTGTCCAGGTCGAGGGGGAGGACCAAGAGGTTTCGCGCCGTCAGCATCGGGCTTCAGACTCGGGTCGGGTTGCTTCACTTCCGGAATGGTGTCTGTACGGTGGTGAGCGAGTGAACGACGACGAGGACAATGGCAGCAACGACGACGATGTCTTTCGGTGAAGAAACAACGAGTGACGCGATGAAGAGGGTGTCCGACTTACTTTGACGTGGGGGAGTGGCATTGTTGGACTGTTTGGGTGACTTCGTATCACCCCCGGTCGAGGCGTCGTTTGGTGAGGTCCCCATGATGACGACGATGATGTATTATATTTGGGGAAAGAAGCGTTGTTGACGTTTGTGGGGTGGACGCCAAAGGCAAAAGGTGACGGTAGCAGGGTAGGGATGATGATGTAGGTATGGTTGTGTTGAAAAAGCCAGATGAGGTCAGAGGAGGAGTTGGACACGGGGAAGAATAAGCTTAGAAGGATAGATCTGGATTGGAAGCGATGAGAGATCGGGGGGAAACCAATCCGCTGCGCAGTATAGGAGGGACGGGCAAAGCAGAGATGGCGAGGGCAGCAAGAGGTTAGCCGTCAGAGGCAGCAGCTACGCTATTGCAGCGCTCCTCTGAAATGGAAGCGGCACGAGAATGGAATGGCTTTCGACGATCGACGACGGTGGTGAGGAAAAAAGTTGTCTCTCTCTACGGCCGCCAGCAGGAAGAAAAAAAAAGAGGTATTGCGTAGTTGTGGCCTCTGTCTGGATGCGTACCCGGGGACGTGCTAAGATGGGGGTGCAGAACGAGTATCGTTGTGAGAGTAAGATGTCGGGGGAGAAAAACGGCAGACGTCACAGGTCAAGTATGACGTTGCGCGGTGGTCGATTTTAAAAAAAAAAAAAAAAAAGGGCGAGGGCGCACGAAAGAAAAGAAAATGGGTGGGCGGCGGCGCACACTCTGACACCAAAACGCCCACGTCCATGTCCATGTCCCCATCCACGCCCAGTGCCCACCCCTTCCAACAACGACCCCCCCGTCCCCGTTCAGTCTCTCGACAGGCTTCCCGTCTCTTTTGCTCCTGCGCGCTTCCTTCCCTCTCCTTTCGATATCCGTTGCTCCTGACCTTTTTTTCCTCTCTCTTCCTCTTCCTCCTTCCCCGTTCTGCGAGAAACGCTGGGGCTTTTGTGGGGAATTGTTTCTCGCACTGTGCGCCGAATGCCCCGACGTCCAAGAACGGCTTACCAATGGGGAATGGTCCCACCACACCTGTCTGGCATATCAGTTTAGCAAAGCACGGAGAACATATATGTTCTCCAGGTACCTCTACGGAAGAACAGGTACGTAGCGCGCGTTCGACAATGGCGCGAGGTAGGAATGGTAGGAACGAATGCTGCCTCGATTGCAACCGACATGAGGGCCTGGTCAATATTTCATCCTCGATCGGATACCCCTTTCTCGCATTTTGCAACTTTCGCGAGCGTCTGAATGGCTTTGTTGCCCAACTACCTGCAGATGCTAGGGATTCGACCACAGATCCTAGTGTACTGTGACGGGAGTGTAGAGCGACTCGAGATGGGTACCTCTACATCAGACTCCATCCCATCTTATCGCCTCAAGCGAATGACGGCAGACGATTCTGCCGAAGCCGCGCACCATCTCGGTCGCATTCTCCATCTACGGACACATCTTTACCTTCGAGTGGCCATTCTCTCTCACTTGTCTTCGCCTTATCTTGATTTATCAGCTGAAGGAAGATGTCGAGACGGCTGTTGCAATGCCTCGGAGCACAGCCAACACGAACACCATGTCTTGGCTTGCTGGCGAGATCTTCAGAGCCACTGCCGTACGGCTAGAGGATGCTGAATCTTCCCTCCCGCGCTCGGCATGTAAATGTGTCTCTTCCACGGTGCTATCACCGTCCCGTCCTCCGTAAGTCTGATAGGCTATCCGCACTGTACGGCATGTGTGGAAAATCAGGCGGTCGTTGCCGACAAGAGCGGCGCAATTGCACACACTGTAAGCGAGCTGACCAATCAGACTCCAGCTTCCACACAGTGAGAATCGCCGGTTAGTTGGAAATGTAAGTCCGGGGGGTGGCCCAAGTATTCCCCCCTCGGTGTCGTAACGCATCTGGCACCACCCAGCCAGTATCTGCAGCCAACGTTTTCTACTGTGGCTGCACGTCTCCATCTGGTGGTCCCCTCTCCCAAGTCTTCCGACCCCTGCATTGATTGCATCACTTTTCCTTCCTGTCGCATTCGAGGGCCATGGCATCCCGTCCCTTTTTTGTTCTTTTCTTCCTTTGGGCTTTGGGCTTTGGGCTTTGGGCCTTGGGCCTTGGGCCTTGGGCCTTGCCTCAACTTTGTTACTTTTGCTCAAGGTGGAGCCTACGCAACTGACGTGCTGGATACACAAGTTGACAGAACATCCACCTCCCGTTCTTTCATAATCGCCCACCAAGCCACTCTCTTTTCTTCGGATACAGCCATCCTTCTCCATCCATCGAACAGCGAGAAAGCAGGTCAACAACGGCCTCGACCCGGCCTTTCGCATTGCCCTGCCCTGCATCTCACCTTTCGCGAGAGTCTAGAACAGTCAACGCCATCGAACCACCTGCCACCTGTTCCCTGCTAGATTTTCAAAGCGTCCGGCTGCTGGTTTCCTGGAGGAATCTGGCTACGGGAAAATCGTGACGGTGAAGCGATCGGCATACTCATTTCCTTTTCGGGCAAGAGTTTTCGTCCCCCATCACGATCCCGCCGGTCTACCCTACCTGAACCGTACAGCCACTGTACGGACTGTTCTCACCAATACTCGTCTACGATTGTATCAACCCATCACCCCAAATCGTTGCACTTGCGTGGCCTTACACAGGGGCCGTCAGCCATGGATTTCTAAGCTGCAGCTACCTGAAGGTTCTGGCCCAAAGCTGCCGGTGAGAATGAGGCAGGAGCCGCAGGACTGGCAACTTCGACGGTCGGTTTTGGACGCGACTGGGAAGCCCGAAGTGGCAAATTACTGTCTTCAATATCCAATAGGGTGTCCCAAAGAGCTGCAGCTTGGTCAGGGAGGCCCCGGCAGCCAGTCCCCGCTCTCTCACGCTCAACTGCAGAGTATCCGTACAACAAATTGCGTCACAACAATCGCGCCAGACGGGGCATATCTACTTTGCTCCGTAGCAAAACCCTCCAAGCTTCAGGTAGCCAGACACGGGAAGACCATTGGGACATACTCACCCCGTTTCCTCATCCTCCCAGTTTCCATCATCCGCCAACGGCAAGGATTCATGCTCCTCTTGCTAACAAATTAGCTGATACCTCTCCGTTTCGACAAGCGAGTCTGTCTGCTTCCAAACATTACGTCAGGGTCTTATTCATGGGGTCGACCTGTTTTTAGCTTGAGACGGAAGATTGGCAAAGTTCTCGAAAACGGCACCAAATGCGCTCGATAGTCACGGCTTTGGCCAAGTTCCGCTCTGCAACTGGGTTCGCACTGTCTCGATACTTTTCAGTTTTGTATCGCATTGGTGGCGTCCCTGGTCATGACGTAACTATGTCTAGTAAGATGCTGACGAATAGAAAATCTGAGCCAACAAAGCCAAGGAAACGAGCTCAACGCTGCTTGCCCACCCATACGCAGTAGACGCCCCGGCACGGTCGGCGATGCGATCCCTAATGGTGTGGTACCTTCCCATGGCTGCACGAGGTCCTGACAGTGAACAACACCAAATTGAAACGGTCTCTTGATTTGTCCAGAGTCATTCATACGAGGGGTTTGTGTCAAGAACTGTCCTCGTCGACGGTGGAGGCTGCGATTCTGACAAGAAGGGTCCGTAATTTGCGACAATGACGGAATTTCCAAATTTTTGCTCTGATTTCCGGCGACCCACTAGATTGCTCCGCGAAGACCGCTTGCTCCCGTCTTCTTCACGCGTGGTCTGCTTGGGTGGGGGATGTTGTTGCGTTCCTGCGATGGACGCCCAGGCGAGAGAATGAAAGTACCCGACCAGCGAACGGGGAGTCTCAGGTCAGCAGACGGTACGTATTCCGGAACAGATTGACTTGTCCCGTCGGCTACCGTCGTATGACGCACTAGACCCGGAGAACATCCTTGCAGCGTGCATGCTTTTGCTCCTCTTTTTGCACCATTTTCATATTGCACTGTGCTCAAACTTTGCACTTTCGCGAGCGCGTCGCGTCACACTGTACACGGGGCTTATCCACTCGACCTCTTTTAGCCTTGGATGCATTATGGTACCTAGCTCGGTCCGTGATATCTCGACGGAGCTCATGCTGCAATGACCAGATCTAAAGCTTTCCCCAGAATACATTGACGGAGCGATGACGGCAGAAACCTGTCTAGAGTATGGATGAGACGGCACGTTTGGATAGGCGCCCAGTCTAAATCGAGGCTCGGCATCAATCTCGATATCGATCTGACTGCTCCATGCTCGATTTTCGTCTAGCGAAGTGCGAACGACCACAACGTCGCATGGGGGAATTCGGGTCCAGAACCACAAACCACGTCGTGCCTCGGACGAGAGACAACACGCTTGGCCGTAGCAGGGGCAGCTTAGGCCTATCGTGCCGTCTAGGCCCAATGTTCTCCGTCCGGCGGCGTCCGCTGCCCCATTCCACCGGGTCAGCGCCACAAGTGCCTTGTGTAAGCCTCAACTCGCCCTCCGGGTCCCTGGCGGAGGATCTCGTCCGATGATCTGAGGGCTTGGAATCGTCGACGCGCCAGCGCGCTTATCTACAATGGAAACCTTCGAGACAGACTCAGTTGGCGGGTTGTGCGCCTCTTAACCAGACTGACAAAGTAGCTTTCCGAAACTGATTATCAACGTCAGGATACAGTTTGTTGCACTGCGTGCCATATCCTCTTGGCTTCACATCCCGCGCAAACACAAGCACCTACCCATTTTCCGAATAGATGGAGCAAGACCTTGGGATTGATAGGATGCCGAATAAAGAGCCGTATCGGCAGATGTCCTATCCTCTATGATAGGCTCTTACATCCAAAGAATCCCGGATATTGCATCAACATTTATATCGGCATGCGTAGCAGCCGGACGTGGAAACCTGCCCTGCGTCCCGCGGCTTGTTGGTAGTAGTCTCAATCCTTCCGCCAAGCCTAGTTTGGAACTCATCTTTAGCTTATCGAGATTGCCACTCGATGTTTAGCCGTTGCAAGTTACCTCATCTATATTGCTTGAGCAAAAGCAACGAATATTCGGTAAACACAGTTGTGGAAGCCGATGCATGCTGGGGTGAAACTCAGCTTGCCCTTTCCGGCCTGTGTATTCACGTAACACGCGGTTCGACATCTCGAAGCCGGAAACAGCTTCTCGGTACGTCGAGATGATGGAAAAGTCGTATGGACGGCCATCAGCGTGGCTTATTTCAGCATGTTTTATTGTAGAACATCCCAGCTCATCGCTAGCCGCACCCTAATATGTTTCGGAGCTACATGTTGATCACATTCCTCCCTCTCTCACCGGGTCTGATGGTGCTCCAGATTCTCGATGGGTGGTTTATCTCTAATGTAGCGCGGGCGTTTGTTTCACGTTTCCCACCTGCGCCGCATGGTGTCACGCGAGCCCGATAGAACGCTTTTCTGAATTCCCCCCGATTGATGGCTCCGGTTGTACAGACACTCTGGAATGGAGCAGATAGGCGGCCGGAGGAACAGACTTGTGCATGCTGCCTTTTCCGACAACGGCGCCCGGGACGAATGACGAAAGTTGCAAAATGATTCGGGCCGTGGTCGCTCGCTCCCGCAAAAAGGGCAGAAAAGAAAAGAAATCAAAGCTTCGCGGCTGCCGCCCCGATGCGCGCGTTATACCTCTCTAGCTTCTCCACCCGAAAGCCATGCCTCGGCGCGTGAACCCTTACGGAGGTACCCTTGGGCCCATTGACCTCGAATACGACCTCCTCCCCGTCGAGGCTGACAAGCTTCCCCGTGTCCTTGTGCGAGGCGCCCGTGTCGGCGGGCCAGACAATGACCTCGTCGCCCGCCTTGAGACCCTGCGCGATCACGAGCAAGTCCTTGGCGTCGACTCCTCCTCCCGTAGTCGATTCGTTGTACGGTGACGAGACGGTGATGTCCGCCGCCTCGTCACCTGACACCGTCGCGACCTTGCCCGCTGCCTTTCTTGCTTCCGAGGTTGTGCTTTGGAAGCGCTCGATCCAGGCAAAGACTTTAGGGAACTGCTCTTTGGAAATGTGCTCCGCGGGCAGCGCGCCGGGGAGGGAAGCTAACCAGTGCGGCAGCCACACGGCCTCGATATCCGCCAGCGAGGGTCCATTCGTGCCGGAAACCCAGTCCCGTCCGTCGGCGAGCAGCGTCGTCTCGAGGAGTGCCACGGTGCGGCGGATCTCGTTGACGGCGTTGGGCCGCCCGCGCTCTATTGTTTCGGTGGAGAGCTTGCCGCCGACAAAGTCCTCGCGGTCCTTGAACCAGGTGCGTTTGGGGTCCTTCAGCATGGGTAGGTTCGTGGGCAGGACGTTGATTGCGTTGGAGAAGACGGAGTCGATTATGAGAGCTTCGAGGAGGCGCTCTACGGCTGCGTGTTCTGGGGTGGTGGCGCCGAGACGGGGACGGGAAGGGTAGAGTTGCTCGAGCTTGCGGAGCATGAGGCGCGTGTCGAGGTAGACGTCGCGGCCGATGGCGAGGATGGGGATGCGGCGGTAGTTGAGGCCTAGTTTTGCTACGTCTGGGCGGGGGAGGACTGGCGGTTGCATCTAGAGGGGGTTGTTAGTTTTTTATGTGAATAGGAAGTACCGGTAGGTACCACGAAAAACCGAATCGTGGTGAAGATGAAGGTGTGAGAATTGTCGACTTACACACTGAACATAGGGAATGCCTCTGAGAGCCAAGTACCACACGATCCGCTTCGCGTACGGCGAGGCAGAGTAGTGGTACAGCACAATCTTCTTTTCGTCATCGGATGAGGCCATCGTTTTTGGTTTTAGGTATTACGACTAGAGGGATTGAGGAATGAGATGAGGTGAGATGAAGTGAGAAATACGACAAGAGAAGAGCGAATTTCTGTTGTCTGTGAGTGAGCAATGCTGGGCCGAGATGAGGTGAGATGAGATGAGATGAAATCCGACGATTGTTAAGTGTTGAGGACTCAAAAGATCGATGACGATGAAAGCGAATGGCGGGAAACCTGCGAAACAATCGGGAGAGATATTCGAGATGCCGAGGCACGAACGCGACGGGGCACCTGGTAGTTCCTAAGCTAAGGTAACGTGGAGCATGCGGGGTTAAAGGGGGGTGAGAGGAACCAATGGGAGTGCTTTATGGGGTTGCTCACCTAGGTGAGACAGCCAATTGGGTGTTATACTTTTGACCTCTCTTTTCTGTAGAACTTAGGTGCTCGTTGTGGTTTCTTATTGAAAACCTCGAGTGAATCTTTGAATGCCATTATGTGGATTTAGGGTCTATGGCATGAGAGAGTCTTTGGAATGGGGTGAAGGTGGTATTCCGAGAGCAGAAAGAGGTGTCACGAGCGAGGTATATCGCGAGACCTAACTATGCCGCAACACACATCCATCTACCTGCTTTCGTAGTTCTTCACTCTCTTTTCAGAGTAATTCATGGTTCGCAGATCAAAACACAAAGATATAAGCGCAAAATATCATTCGGCTTACTGGGAGTCCAGCTGTTATATGGAAGGGCAATTTATAGCATTTAACATTGCGGGTTTTGAACGAGTAGGCATACAGACCAAGAACTTATGTATTCTAGTTACCTCTCAACGTACTCCAGAACCTACCAGGCCTCATACGTAAACCAGCCAAGTGGAGAGTGTGAAACTACGGTGGAACTCCATCAACTACGCTCTCCGCTGGGCCCTGATCCAAAACTCAGATTGTGCGTGAATACCGCAGTTGAAAGTCCTCCATGGATTCAACGGATCGCAGATGGTGAGCTCAAATCGGCGTAGTAGCTAATAGAATTCCCTGTCAGCATATACTCTGATAAAACAACGGGCGTTTCCTTTCCGACGTACTTGGATGGCGCAGAAATTAAAGCAAGAGAATGGGAATTACCGCAACAAAACGCACCTCCAAGAAAACTTTATTCAATTGCATCAACGCAACCGGCCTTCCGAGACACTGATACCGCCCATAACTGAAAACCAAATCAATCGTCGCCTCCATCTCGCGCAGCTTCTTCTCTGCTGAGCCCATCGAACCGCCTTCTTCTTCTTCATCATCTTCTTCTTCTCGTTCACTCTCCCCAACCAGCCACCTCTCAGGCCTAAACTCGCTCGCATCCTCGCCAAAGACGTCTTGCCGGCGAAACATGGCCCATGAAGACCACCCAACGCGCGTGCCACCGGGAATGAAGGCGCCGTTCCACTTGTCGCCCTCTGGCGGCGCCTGCTTGGCCATCAGACTCGCCACAGGCGGGAAGATGCGCAGCCCTCATTTGATGACGGCTTGGAGGCAGGGTAAGTTGCGGGCTTCGGCGTCTGATACGATAGGGCGGCTGCGAAGGGCGGTGTTGTCTATAAATAGGATCTCTGCTAGGAGTTTATTGTGGACGCGGAGGTTTGTGAGGATGTAGAGAAGCGTGGCGCGGATTGCTGTTGCTGTTGTGTCGGAGCCGGCAATGCTTTTAGAGATGTTTCAGCTTGTACTCATTCCTTTTGGATACAAGATCTTGACTGAAAGAAGGGGCCGGCGCAGGACTAACATCTGAAGCAGGATCTCGGATTCAGCTTCCTCTTGCGTGAGACCGTGAGCGACAAATGAACCCAGCATATCCCTCTGGACTTTCGCATCAGGACCAAATCGCTCGGCAGAGAACCTTTTAGCTATCCTGGACCGGAAAAGTCAGCTGGGAATATCACTCAAAATATTGCTTACTAGGAAACAGGAGAAAGACACCGCCTCACTCACCCCATCACCTTACCGAACCCCAGCCGATCTTTTGCCCGTGGGCAACATCGACCTAAGCCAAGGATACCGGAACAACCTGATGACCCAGACACCACAGTCATACCCATAAACACGGGCAAATTCTCCTCCGTCGTCTTGATATACTCGTACATATCCGAATCAGACGCCGCGAACCCAAATGGCTCCCCGAACGCGAGATCCGAAATGACATCTAGCGTGAAGAATTGTGCTTTCCTCCCGAAATCGAATGGTTTCCTCTCGTCGACGTAACCCTCGATTAGCTTGATCAGTCGGAGGAGGTTCTCGTCAACCTTTTGCTCAAAAGCTTGGACTTCGCGGCCAGAGTACTAAGGAGAGGCGCCATTCGTCAGTAACTGATTGCGTGGGGGGATTTCCCCTGACACAACTCACGCCCGCGGCCATCTTTGACCGTAGCTTGGCATGGCCATCCTCGTCTCTGCACGACAGAACGTTGTCCCTGGACGGGTTGAAGCGCATGCCGTCGTACCAATCTGAGCGCCGGTACTCGCTCCGCACGCCGAGCATGCGCCTCATGAGGGCAGGGTCGTCGTTGAGGAGGTCGTTGGGGCCGATACGCGCGAGGGAGCCTTTGTAAGTTGATTTTCTATTAGCCTCAAGTTCTTGTGCGCCTGCGCTCTGGAAACCTTCTAGTAGACCGTCATCTGTCTAGAAAGCGAATTTTTCCACATTGTACGACTCGGCGAGCACTTGAGCACCATTTGGCAAAACAGAGACAAAGTCACTCACCATATTTCTTTGTCACGTTGTAGAACTCGAGGTGACCCCGAGATCCTGTCACGGTCTTGAGGAGCCATAACTTGGATAAAGCTGCCAGAGGTGGACCTTGAAAGTGCCGGAGGCGCCGGTACTGCTTCGCCGTCTCATAGATGCGGAACAGCACAAAAATCACGATCAAGGTAGCTGGAATGATTCGGGTAGGATGTTGGTCCCAGTGGTCGTAGAATATATGAGAAAGCGGAGGATTTTCAGCTATACCTGAGCCCATTCTGAAAGTGCAGATTGGATGATTATACGGCGAAGTCTCTTTTTGTTACTTATGACGCACACGCGGGTTGTAGACTGCAAATATGAAGAAGCCGAAAAAAATGGACATGCCTTTTTTCCAGAGGTCACAAGACAAAAAGCACTTGTCAATGGAGAGTCAAGTCGTTCGTTGGTTCTGTTGGTTCATACTTCGAACCACTTGGCAAATCTCCCTCTCCCCACTGGAGCGGCGGGGCATGATATCCCTCGCCCTCTGACTGGACCAGTCTGTTGGAAAGTTTGCTTGCACCCATACTCGGAAAACGTGTGACCATGGGGAAATGGCTTGAGAAAAGCAATGTGTGCTGCCGTCGTGATACAGAGCGGAGAACCGACCGGAAATCGGCATCGAGGTTCAGACTGCATTTTCAGAGGATGTGCAGATGTTGCCATACGGTCATCTGGGATATTCAATTGGCCTACAAATCGGATCTTGTATGCACTTCAATTTCAGGTCTGACGGGGTTGGCGGTCGGTGGTACCTCATCTTACCATATCTGGCATTACGCCTGAATCAGAAGGGTCCTCGGAAGATGGTCTATTCATCGGTTTGAATCGATCTTAGGATTCAAGTAAATCTTGGGATACACATGTATGCATATGTTGGGGAGTGGATCTGCTACGGTAGTCGATCAAGACTGGCGGCTGCGATAAATTCAACGTTCTGAAGCTTTGCCTGAACGAGTCTGTCTCTAAAGACTGACCTATATTCGTTCACTCCAAGTCGCCCTGTCAGTGACAGGGAACTCTTTAAGTTACAAAACCTTACACCACTTGGTCGAAGAAGTTATATCAAGAAGGGATGCGGAAACCAGACCTGTTCATCTACACCATGCATTATTCCACTTGAGATCCGCGAGTTAGGTTTCGGTTCATTTAACAGCGATAAACCGCCTTCTCAACCCGAGTTTCTGTAGATACTAGACATAGAGCATCATTTCTTGATGGATGTGCAGCTTCAAAAGACGTTCCTGCCCGGCCGCTAAAGGAACAGCTTACAAACGGAGCGGCCCCACACGGCGCCCCGAGCTGAACGGACGGCGTGTACTTCAAGACGCTAATCTTCGGACTTTGTAATGGACAAACTGCAGCAACTTCCATCGATTCGAGGGGCTATACCACAGAGAGGGCGCGTTGATTCAAAGCGACGCAATGCATGCTAGACTCCCACCAACGAGTTGCCCGGCCGGGAGCATCCCAGTAGCTCCGGGGTAGCAGCCGCGTTGCCAGCCCATCTCACTTCCATCCCAACTCTGACTGCAGCCGGGAGTTGCGTCTCATTCTTCCCCCCTTTCCCCGAAACCTTGCGCGGGCATACTGCAATAAAACAGCGAATCGGAATATCGCAGTGAAGTTCCGCGTCACTTTTCAGAAAGAAAAAAAAAAGGAATCGTCCAAAGTCTTTCTCGGTAGATCGTGCTTCGACCGCGAGCAAACATGGTGTGTTACTTTGACGGCGTTCAAGCCCCACGAACTGCGTCCGTCTACGGGTAGCACGGGTTGTTTTTGTTGGCGACAACGTTTGAGACCTTCTCACCATGCACACGCGGTCGGTTTGCGGTTTTGAGGAGCTGAGTAAAGATTGCTTCTGGGCGGAATACCACGAGCGGCGGAGCAGTGTTTTCAGTCTACAACAAATGCAAGTGCGGCTCTCAACAAACCGACCTCTTACTACAGCCTCACACAATGCCCAGCTTGCGCGTCTAGATATGAAAGCAGCGCGAGTTTACTGCAATTCACTGGCTTATGATCGAGATTCCATCGGCAGCAATCGCAGCTCCAAAGAAATGTCAAACTGGGAGCATTATGGCGATAATTTTGTCTTGTAACGCCGCAGAACGGCGAGACATGCCGAGGAGATATCTCGTTTGCGACATGGAATTCTGCAAAGGCGGAATGCCGCCCTGAATAGCTTCTAAGACCTCACAATGAGACCAGCACTTGGCTATAGCTTCGCGTCAATCTGATATGAACACGAACACACAAGAGATTACTAGCTCTGACAACAACAAGTGAGGCAGAACTCAGCTCACGGACTTCTTACATGCTAGAGGTGGTCTGGCTTTGGCGAAGTCTTTCTGACGCAATATTGGCGGTAAGATGAAGAGCGGAAATTATATGTCCCAGGTGAGACATTGCTGCAAGGTGGGGTCGAATGAGGATTCGGGGCGCGGCGCCGTATGCTTGGTGGAAACGCGGGGAACGGGAGTCTAAAGTACGGGCGTTGGCTACCCGTGGCGGACAGCTGAAGTATTGATATTTGATGACGAGCAAACACAAACCAAAAGTTGCGGAGGCTCCAATCATACGGTGATGTATCTGTGTACGCCACTTTTGGAAGCAGGTCTTGTGTCCGAGGGTAAGGTAGCCTGGCAGTGTCGGATGGGCACTGAGCCGCGACCACAGCAGGCACTGTGCACCAGTCAGCTACTTGAGACCGAAGCGTAGCTGCACACCGCAAGTCGGTATGACAACAAGGAGTTCCTAATGGCCAGGTAAGCTGCATTGGAGACGGCAAGATGCAACAGGAGTGTGGTGAGTATTTCGTACTCTGGACGTCAATCCCCCCATCCGAGCGTATAGTAGCGGAAGCTTGGGCCGAGGCCGACAGGCTAAAACAGACCATTCGCATCGAAGCGCGTAGACACCCGGTAACACAAACACGCTGGACGAGTAGAGACGGTTGTGGTCAACACCCTTGCTGCGCCGGCTTGAGTTCCCCGAGGAAGGTGGCGGCAGGACGATAGGCCAGCCATGACAACTGGCATGGGAAGTGAAATGAGGTATTGATGGATGGCGGCCTGTGTTCAAGGGTAAGCGGCGCCATGACGCTACTATGGCCTTGAATTTTCCCGTCACCATCAGGGGAAACAGCGATGGCTGCGCGTGTTTTGGGGGCACAATAGAAACGCCGGGAAGGTGTGAGAAATTCTGTTGACAGCTGGAGCCTGGAGGCAACGTGGCAGAAAGAGGTGAGGTTGGACCAGAATCTTTGGGGGCCGTGAGTCAGGAGTCAGGACGCAAGGCGTAAGTCGAGGCGAAGGAGGATATGTACGTCGTTTGCAGGAACTTGGGAAGCTTGATACGAGCGGGCTGGTTGATTGCACGACGTGGGCTTGCTGACAATCGGCAGCATTGTTGATGAGGCTGCAGGAGACGTGTTAGTGGTAGGACGCCACACCCTACCCTATCTTGATTGTCAATAGGCCTTCTCTAGTCTCGGTGTCTGCGTGCCATCGGTGTCTGCGTGCCACGATGTATTCGTACTCCGCCCTTGGAGTGGCTACGTTGGCCTCCAAGCCCCTGTCTCGCAAGACCAGGAGTCCAAAACGAGTGTCGGGTTGGGGGTCACCCAAGGGTGCCGTCGCAGGACGGGAAGGTGAAGTGTCAAGGTGTGTAGATTGTAGCATGTCGTTTCCAGGCCTAGTCGACCGTCTACCTCGTGGCCGAGATGTGTTTGGGGGAATGAGGTGGTGTGAAGCTGCCGTGTGTTGTGAGTTGTATGCTTTGTGCTGTGTACCAGAGTAGGGGGAACCTGGACGTGACTTGCCCGTGGCTCCGTCCCCAGAGTTTGGGGAATGCAGGAAGTTGGGGGTTCCTTACTTTGGCGGGCTTCTCCGCAAAATGCAAGAGAGACCCCACATTCCCCTTCCGTACCTGATTAGTGGAGTCTGAGTGCCTCCACTACCGACTGTGGTAGGTCCACTTCAGGCAAGGAGGAAGTTCCAGATTCCTTCGAAGAGAAAAATTCAATAAAAATGAGAAAATGCTCTGTGCCTCTCCAGGTACCTTATCTCATCCCCATGAAGCAACATCACCTCGAAAAGAACGGACGAGAAAAGTCCGCGTAAGGAGGCATGGCGATCCGGCGCGTGAACCGAATGTCAGATAGAGAGCAGATTGTGTTGCACGCCGGTATTGCCCCATGGTCCAAAAAAGACACATGGCCGCCATCCCCGTCTCCCCGTCTCCCCGTCGGCAAGCATTACCTTACCTCTAGGAAATAAGGACCGACTCTGTAACAATTGGGGAATTTTCTCTCTTGTCCCAATTCCCTCTGCAATCAAATGGAGGCTTTTGAAACTAGTCCAAGTTTTTCTATCACGTCCAATTTCGGGTTGAAGGCGAGCTCTCAGGGCGTGTCACTGAGATAAGCTATCCCTCGGTCCCATCTTTTGACGATCGCAAGTGAAAATGGGTTAGACGGATGCCGCCTTACCAATTTGACTGGAATTCAGCAACGCAAGATGCAAGCTACAGCTCCGTAGCCGCCCCGATCGTGCGAAAGGCAAGCGGAGCTTCGGGGGTAACAAGATACCTCACTCCACATTAACACTGGACAGTTGATTACAAGGTTGAAGTTGCCGTACGATTTCCGTCCAATACGTTGGGGAAAAGAAGGTACAACTTCCGACTTCCGGCGGATGGGACGACCTTGAGCAGAATTGGGGACTGGACGGAGTCCTCTTCCTGATCCCTCGCGCCTTGTTTTCATCCATTCGATCCGTTTGGCCCGCAAGTTCCCCCAAAAGCGCAAGGTCCTAGGCTGCCGTATGATTATTCTCGTACTGCGTACCCGCTTGCCGCATAAGCAAGAAAATCCGGGGCCAGAAAAGACGATGAGTAGTTTCCAGCGGATAGAGAGAAAGAAAACCCGCCGACGGCGTGCGACAGCTGGGATGACCCAGAAACGAATGCCGGTAAAGCCCGTGAGAGCTCCTACACGGCAAGAAAGGGATGGCCCTGTTCTGTTCAATCCCAGCGTGCCCTGACTTCCGGCGGCATTCTTTCTCTGTTTCCCCGAGCTGATCACCTCTCTATCTGAGGAATCGCGCCGGCTCCATTAGAAGCCAGACGGTACCTATTCGCAGTTCCTGTATCCATAGTTGCGGCGTGCTCTGTGCCTAGAAAGGACGGCGATGATGGATAGGCAGGGAGGAAGACGGCAAAAGACAGCTGTGCCTCGGCAGATACATGCTCAAACCCCTTTGATTTCTATTGTCCACCTCGTGTCGCTAGGTACCTTATCTGTAGTTACCCCCATTTTAATGGTACTCACCTCCTCTTACACCGAACACCCGAACGGTCAGGGTCAGCCCATCCGGCCCCATCGCCGAGCTCTCTCAAAGGGGCAAGCAGCCCTGATCCTGGTAGAGGAACATCCACATGGAACATTCCTCCCCTTCCAGACTTCCAGGCTTCTAGCACTCCCCCGTGAAAGCCGGGGATTGTCTTTTGGAGACCTCCATGGATGATGGGAGCCGGTTTGGGGCTAGCCAGCACAACAAACAGACGGCAGCACGACAGAAGATTGGACTGCACGACATGTTGCTTTTTGGCCGACGAGCCTGATTTCCAGAGGCAGCCAGAAGGCAGCCAGAAGCAGAGCACTGTAAGTATGTGTACCTTGCTGTTTCAATAGGGATGCAAAGTATCAACTATCTTCATTATCACCACGCGCGGGTACGTGAAGAGTCTGCGCGAGCTCCCACAAATAAATGCCCAAGGTAATCAGAAATAAACCACAGCCAGTCCACTGAGACAATGATACTGCCCATTCGTCATGACACAAGCACGACAAGCCAGCCCCAGCCCAAGCCCAGGTGCTTCATCGTCTTATACTTTGCCTCATTAGATTGCGACATTGCAAACCGCAAGCCTCGCATGCCAGCTCTCCGCGATCTTCGTTGTGTACCTACCCGTACCTCTCTGCCTTTATCATCCTGTCTCAATTCCACGTCCGTCCAACATCGGGCAAGGTACCTTACTCTACTCTGCCAGGTCTGCCTTCTGTTTCCGCCAGTCTTTTGAGCCCGTGAGCTGTCAAAGAGCAAACTTTGGTCCATCTCAACTTCCTCGCCATTTTTCTGAACCCTCGTCCTCCTCTTTCCACTTCTCACTCCTCTCACTCTCACGCTCACGCTCACGCTCACTCTCACTCTCACCACACCCCCCCTCCCATCTTCGTCTTGCTCATCTCCCCTTCATCGCTAGAACCCCTGACTTTCTTCCCCACGCTTCCGTTGAACTCTCCCGGCAACTGCAACCTTACCAGCGCCTCTTGTCGATTTGCTCTGCCCATAGCCCACCCTTTCGACCATTCGGTTGGGTCCTTTTTGCTCCCAGGCATTCCACCCACCCTGGTCTTGTTTGCGCACCGACTTGACCAGCCCGGGGGTGGTCGGTCTACTTACGACACAAGGAAAGGAATTGTGAAATCTCTGTTACGGATCGCGCACAAACGCCCGGTCGCACCTTTTCTCGTTCTCTCTGCTCTCTGCCTTTTTTCTCTCTCTACGTGCGTGTCTGTCAGCCGATTCTCGTTTGGGGCTTCCGGCTTTAAATATTCTGGCATCTGCACTTTCCTCATGCCTGCTGCCCTCCATCTCGTCCACCTACTTACCTTACCTTACATACGCCTTCCCCCATCTTAAGGAATAACACTCCACTCTACTGTGTCTCGGCACCAGTTCCAGCCTCGATAACGCCTCTCAACAAGCAACTATATCCACAGCTGTCTTTATAATCCCCGTTTCTTCCCCAGATTCTTCCGTACGGATAAGGATCCATCACCATCGGTACGTGGAGCCCGTCGACAACACAGCAACATCCAGACTCCTTGTCTAACACCTGCGTGATAGAACTTCACCTGTTCATTTCCCCCGGCACACACAATCAAAATGCCTGCCAGCCAGATCCAGATCGCTTCGCCTCTTCCTATTTCTCCCCAACGGAGGAATCTGCGCCTGATGACGGGCCAGGATCTTTACACAAGTTTAAACGCGACTCTCGCCTCAACCACCCACCGCCCGGTGACGCCTGTACACATGATTCAAGAGAACGACTACAGCGTGCCGGCCCCTCCTCCACCAAGCCCAGTATCATTCGCTACAGACCACTGGCAGTCATCAATCCGCCGATAAGGCATTCTTTGTTCAGAGCTACGAACGAATTCTTCCTGTCCACTGTTCGACACAGGGGCTACTCTTTACTTGTACAATTAGCAAACGGACAATTCACGGGAGTACGGGGCGAAATGGGCGCGGAGCAAACTATTTTTTTTAACGGCTAGCGAACGAGGTTTACACAAAAAGCAGGACTGGCACATATCATGGGTTTCTTCTTCTTTTCGGTCTGCATACGGGGTTATTGGCCGCAAACAGCCACCCAAAAAACGTTGATGGTTGGAGACGACGATGGGCGTCCCCATCTTACACATTGATCGACATGCGCACTCGTTTTCGGTGTGCAACTAGGAAATTGGCCTTTCTAGCTAGCTATGAATTAACACTGATAACACATTTTTCTTTGGCAACCGCCTTTGCTTATAGCTGCTGCGTTTTAAAAGACCCGGGGATTGTGACTCGTTCTGCGAATGGTTCGCCGGTTGACAGGGGGGAAAAGGGCCGTCCCATGTTTGCATTGGAACAGCTCGAACAGCCTAATCCCCCGGGTTGTTGACAGATATGAGGCAAGCAGGGACAAGCAAGGAATCCCAAAACAGTGGTTACAATGCTTTCCCCAAATTTGGATTGCGAGTTTGGAAGCCGGGCAGAATATTCGTCCAGACTGACTCCCTTTTCCTCTTGTTCGACTTTTTTTCGTCCCTTTTCTTGGGCGGACCTCGACGGGAAGAGCTTCCGTCGCCCAGACCGTTGGGTCCCATGGAAAATCGAAGGTGGAGGATGTTGCCGAGGTTTCGCCTGCTGCGAGAGCACGGGCCATCAACACCAGCGCCAGCGCGCCCCACCACTTAACGCGACTTCCCGCCTGCATCGTGTGCTCCTTTCGAAAAACGCGTCTGTCGCGGTCGGTGGTCCGCGACCCCCTTAGCCCGGCGCGTTGCTGCCATCGTTGCTCCATCATTTCCGCTCCCCACTCTCCTTCCGATGTACAAAACCTCTTCATACTCTTCGTGACTTTTCAATACTTCCAGCTTGTACCTTCTACACGCTTCGAGACTTTTTGATTGCGCCTGCCAACCCTCTCGACTTCTACTTCACCACTTCATAGCTCCCGCTTATAATCTGCATCGCTCTCACCCGCCTACGTTTTTCTCCCCCATCACCTAGACGACCAGCACTTGCACATCTCGACGCAATGGCTCGCGCAGCTTCCCGTCGGCAGGTCAAGCCTGTTGCAACTACGCCAGCGACCAACCCCATCAGCAAGTACGGCCGAGTCTCCAAGACACAACCTGCTCCCGTAGACGACGCCTCCAAGAAGGTCTTCTTCATCGGACTGCCCTCCTCTCTTCCCGTCGCCAAGACGGAAGTCAAGACAGAGATCAAGCTCGAGTCCAGCCCAGAAAGAGCTCTCCCCCCTCAGCCCGCAGCAACACCCTCAAAGAAGCGCAAGGCAAGATCGATTGACGAGGACGTCTCACCGAGAGATGTGGGAATCGATGCCCCCGGGTGTGAGTCTCTGAAGCGTCAGCGAGTCTTCAAGAATCGCAGCAAGGACGAGCCTGTCCCCATCAAGCTTGAGGTCGCCTCCACAACCGCAATCAACACCATCACCACCGCTGCCTCTACACGAAAGAGCACGACATCACCAGTCGCCGACAGCCGCCGAAAGACTCGCAAGTCGGACGTCATCTCCCAAGCAAAGACCGAAGTGCGCAAAGCCAACCAAAAGGTCAAGCGAACAAAGAAGCACAATTCCACAAAGTCAGAAATCAAGGAGGAGGTTGTCAAGAAGCAGTTGCCTGCTGAGCTTTTGGAGCTCCTAGACCTGCAACGCGCCATCCTCAAGACTGTTTCTCTTCAACTGGTGCACCAGAAAAACAACGCACCTCTTGACATCAGCTCCATCACACCTCACGTAGCCCGCACATGGGGAAAGAGGAGGGTTACAGTAGACGACATTCGGAGATGCATTGCCATCCAAGACACAAAAACACCAGGCCAGGAGGATGGATCCCTTGGCTCGCCATTTATCGTCACCGACTACGGCCGTGGCAAGCTCTGCCTCGAGATGGATCTCACCAAGAACACTGGCCGTATTGACGAGAATGAGCTTTGCCAACAATTCGAGAAGAACCTCCACATCATGTGCTCCCAGCGCGCCATGGATGAGATGTCGGATCTCGATATCTGCTTCGAGAACCTGAGCTTCAACGACCTGCCCAAGTCCGATATTACTGTTCGTCACACGACCATGTCGGAAAACCCCATGTTCGCCAAGGGCCAGCGCGCCTTGACCGGAATCAAGAATGACATCCTCAAGAAGCAGGAGAGAGAGACGCAAACCCAAGCAACCAAGTTCTCGGCACTCAACCCCAACGGCACCAAGATGACACTCCTCGACAGACTCCGAGCCAAGGAGGAAGCCAACGCCAACATCCAGCTCCCCACTGGCCCCGAGATGGCGAGAAAGCGCGCTCTGCAACGCGTCGGAGACATCTCCGCCGTCCTCTCCATGCTCGTGTCGTCGTCGAATGCGGCCGGACAGATGGTTGTGTCCTTCACCATGACTGTTCTGCAGCAGAAGCTCAAGGACTCTCTTCGCGTCCCCATGCCTATGGAGGAAGGCGTCGATGCGGTGCGTCTGATTGCCAGGGAGGTCGCACCGGAATGGTTGAAGGTTGCCACGGTTGGTGGTAAGGAGCACGTCGTCATCCAGACGAGACGCAAGCCATACGAGGCGGAGCTCGCCGCGAGAGTGAACCGACTTCTCGCATAGATGGATACATCTGGGTGGACGATTTCGGTGGAAGTGTGTTCAAGGGATTGGATTGATGCATGGCATAGCGTGTTTTTCTACATACGGAGTTTGGAAGATACCACAGACAGAGGCAAGGGAGTTGAGGGCGCTTGGGTCACTTGCGGGAGACACACATTTAGACTTGACACAATAAAGGTGTAACCAGTCACACGCATATAGAGACTGCAGGAGATGCAGATAATGGATTTAGTGTAATCGTCAGCTCTGGAGTCGCCAACTCATCTATTGTGCTGTAAAACGTCTAGGAACCGTAACCTTCATAAAGAGCCAGCCTCTCGAGACATTTCTGAGTCTTCAGTCTTGTTTCATGCTATGCAAACCAAGCCGGGGCCATCTTGTTTTGTTGTTTTGTTGTTCAATACGACCATTTTCCGCCCTTCCAAAGATTCCAGACTCCCCAGCGCAAGCAAGGTTTAAGCCACGAGCGCTCTCTCTCGTGTTTGCCTCCCCGGAGACCGTGACGATTCCACCGATTGAGTGAGTGGTATCAATCAAAAAAAAGAAATTAGAGACGGACGAATTGCTCATTTCTTCTTGGCGAAGCGCGGCTCGCCAATGTTGGCGCCGCGCAGCTTGACGTTGAGGACGCGCTCCATGGCGGAGAGGATCTTCTGGTCGGGGGCCGCGCTGCCGCGCTCAAAGTCGGCGACGATGGACTGGGTGGTGTTGCACTTTGTGGCGAGGTCCTTTTGGGTCATCTTGGGCTCCATCTTTTGGCGCGTCTGGGAGATTGCGTCGCCGACCTCCTTGCCGACCGTGTTGGGCTTGATGATGTCGTCGGAGCGGTCGACCTTGGTGAGGCGCTGGCCTTCGACGCCGGGCTTGGTGGCCTGTTGGGGGGAAGCGTTAGAAACTTTTGATTTTGAGGGATTGATCCTTGAATGCTAGATGAATGGCTTTCGAGAGTGGTTTGTCTCCCGTCATCGATTAAGAATTGTGGAGAATGGAGGGGTGAGGTTGGGCAAGGGCTCATGATGTCAAGGGTGAATTTCAAAGGATGCCGTCTGTACGCGCAGGAGAGGGATTGCCAAGGGGGGGAAACGTACAGCATTGCCAGCGGCGTACTTCTTCTCCGTTCCGATGACGGAACCGCTGCGCTGGGCGGCGTTGAGGGCGCTCTTTCCCTTGATGACGGTCTCTCTCTGCACGCCTCCGCCGCGGGCCTTGGAGCCGATCTTGGTGGCGGTATCCCAGTCATCCATTGTGGGCGGTTCGGTTGCGTGTGTGAAGAGTTATGAGTTGTAGGTAAGGATTCAAGCGGTACGAAAGGAGATATGTCCTTCTTTCGTTGTTCGTCGCGGTTGGTGATGTGGTCTCGTGAGGATTGTGATGTTGGTTTGTTGGTGGAGGGGGGAAGGAAGGTAGATAAAAGAGGGTTTCGTTGCGTCAGTTTTTGGGAGGCGGCTGTTCAAAGAGACGGAGGGTCCTGAATGTCTTTGTGGCTGGTGCGTAGGCTGGTCGGCAAATGACAGGTATGGAAGTCGATGGACTGGCATAGATGGCAAAAAACCGGTGGGGGGAAGGGGGGGGGGGCAGTCGAGGAGGGACTGAACTGAGCGAACTGAGTCAACCGGCGGAGGTAAGAGGGGCGGGTATCCCTGCATGTGCCTAACGCCGCCGCCGCAGCAGAGCAGAGCAGAGCAGAGCACCAGGGCAGATCCGACTGTCAGACTGGGCTGCAAATGGCGGGGTGACCGACCTGAAGAGCCCCCCCCTCTTGCCGCTGAGAGCTGTTCCCCAGCTGATGGGAGCGCTCTATCCGTATCCGTACTGCGTATGGGGAGCCTTACCACGTCTTTTCCCGGTGGCTGTCCCGGCCGGGCTCTATTTTTGCCTGACTGCGCCACACATCAGATTCGAGGCCCTCAAGGTCTTTTTTTTCGTCGTCTTCCGTACTCAAGTCAGCCCGTTAAAATCCGGAAGAGCGGTCTCCAAGGAGTACCTCAGGTACAGATAATTGTCCATTCCATTGTTGGGCACTTATCGCAGTTAACGGAACTGAGTCAATGATTCCGCCCAGGCTCCCTCGCGGGCCATGCGTAACTTGACACTGGCCATGTGGCAGCAGCTACCTTTGTGGTGTTCTGAATATGGCAATCTACTCTCTCTGCTCATCGTCAATCCAGGCAATGGTACCTACGGATCAGTAGCTAGCCGCCATGAACAGGTATGGTCCGTCTGATTCATGAGAGCTGTCCTGGGTGCCTGGCCGATAAACCGCCGGGCACAACAGTTTCACCTGGCCCCAGCTGGTTTAGTTGTGATGACTAAGCTCACTCACTCATGGAACGATGTTCTCACATTGAGGTGGGTTCACCAAGAGTCTTGATCTCATCGAACATGCTCGTCGGCCCACAACCCGCCCCGTCCTCCACCGAAAGACCCGATCTGGCAACCGCCATAGCCAAGCTTTCATGATCCTTGACTGAGAGACAGACTACCTTACCTCTAGCAAGACCACTCACGTCTTTTGGCAAGCACAACTTTCTCATAATGAATATAATACTCAACATCTCGTTATCATCATAAGACTGCCGGGCATCCCACCGAATCGCCCTGCCCCCCCTCCCCCAGGCATCCTTTCCAACGCCGCACGCCGATCTCTACCCCGTGGTGAACACCGGCCTCGGTCCCGGGAAATCCTCCAAACTTCTCAGCGGCCCGCGCAACATCATGGCCGCCGCCGCCCCGGGTCTCCAGCCCTTGACCCTCCTAGCAGGCTTCACCTACTACTCCCTCCTCGGAACCTACCTCGACACAGCCCTCCTCCTCCTCTTCACATCCTACCGCAACAAGCGCCTACTCGCAGACCTCATCTCACCCTACATAAATCCGCACCTCATACGCAACCAGCTACTCCTCCTCCCAGGCTTCCTTCTAGGATTCATCTTCCTGCAGATATGCCGCTTCCTCCTTGGCCTAAACGCTGCCACCGCGTCAGAAACGGAAACGAAAAAGTGGAAGACGACGCCGGTGAAACCGCTCTTGATCCCCTGTACCACGACACACAGGCGGACGTTCCCTGAGAAGCACGCCTTTGTGTACTCGTACCTCGTCGTCGGCATCCCCGTCGGATGGAAGGGCAACTACGCCGGCATGGTCTCGTGCGACGTCGAGGAGGCGGGCTGGCTATCGTGGTTCTCGCTGGCGCCGCGGACGGCGGGGAGGGGATGGTTTCACGTGGATCCGGCGGATTATCTCGAGCGCGGGAGCGGGCATCTCGGGTTGAGGGGGAAGCTTGACGCGTATCTCACATCACAGGTAAGAAAGGGGTCTCTACTGAACGGGTCACCATTGTCCACGAACTTCGACTTGGGCAATCCCCCGTGCGTGACATGAGAATGAACATGAGACTCACATAAGTCACACAGGGCGCGGACCCAGCGCAGTATCCCAACGCATACCTCGTCACCGCCGCCCGGTTCCTGGGGTACCACTTCAATCCGGTGTCCTTTTGGTATCTCTATTCCAGGGACAAGGAGCTGACGGCCATGGTGCTCGAGGTGAACAACACCTTTGACGAGCGGAGGATGTACTTTCTCACCACGGATGCCGTCCCGTCAGAACAGCGTCTCGACGGCCGTGGTAGTGAACCACAAGAGGGCATCGAAGAGCCAGCTTCACAAGAAGCAGATGCAGAACCCGTCCCTACTGCTTCTGCCGCCAAAAAGACGCAGCAGATCAGAATGACAAAAACATGGCCAAAAGACTTCCACGTCTCCCCCTTCAACTCCCGCAAGGGATCCTACGCCCTTTCCGCAACAGACTTTTTCCCACCGTCACCACCATCCGGCGGCGGCGCGGCAGAGTCCAAAGACGAATACACCCTCGACAGCACAATCACCCTCTCCTCCTCAAAACACCACCCCAAAATCGTCGCCCGTCTCTTCAACTCCGCCCCGGCCATCGACCCAGCCACCATGAACCCCCTCCAAAAACTCGTCTTCCTCGCCCGCTGGTGGTGGGTAGGCTTCGTCACCTTTCCCCGCATCGTCAAGGAAGCCGCCGTCCTCTCCCTCCGCAAGGGGCTGCACGTCTGGTTCCGCCCGGAACCCCTCAAGGAGAGCATCGGGCGGAAAGCCGACGCGACGGAGAGCCGGCTCGAGCCCGTCTTCCGGTCTTACCTCCGTCACCTGGTCGCGCAGTCCACAGCCGCCATCGCCGTCACGTATATCCCCGCGGGAATCTCTACCACTGGAGGAGCAGGAGGAGGCCTTACCGAGACGATGCTCTCGCCCGCCGCCCAAAAGAACCCGAAACGCGCAGAGCACCTCGACGTCAAGGTCCTCACCCCCGTTTTCTACACCCGCTTCGTGCGCTACGCCCACGACCTCGAGGCCATCTGCTGCGAGTTCCAGGACAACGGCACGCTCTGGATCTCGCAGCCAGAGGTTCTACCCAAACTCATCCTCAAAAAGCCCGCGCCGCCACTAAAGACGACAAATATCTTAGACTACGTCTACTTCAGAGCCATACGCGCCCTGCGGCAGAGGCCGGACCGCATCGAGCGGCCGATGACCTCGGCCACGAAGTCTTCGGGAGCCAAAGACGGCGACACCGGCGGCGGCGTACAAAAAATCGATATTCGTGACTTCCGCAACTCCTCCATGGACGGCTTCGTTCTCGGGCAGACGGATAGGCAAACGCGGAGCGCGTACAGGTCCCTCGTGCTACGGTCTTTCCTCGCCGACCGCTTGGCGCTGGGGAGCGTGGAGCTCCTGGATTTGCAGCACTTGATCCTGCGCGCGGGCGTCGCTTGGGTCTTGTCGTCTACTGTCGCTCCGCTCATGAGGTTATGAGTGAGGTTTTGATACGAGTACCGTAGTACTCAGTAAGCGCCATGCATGTGGCTCACATTTTATGTTCCTACCTACTAGAGACAACGCGCAATCAGCCGCGCCTATTAGAAAATCATAGAGAAGGAGAGAAGGGCTAAGATGTAATAAGCAGGAGAGACAACTCTCCAGACTTGCTCCAGATAGATGACGATGCCCCTCTGGCTGGACCAGTCCATCTCAGCCTTCAATGTATGTCGCCGATGATCAAACAAGGCAGCTAGCTAGCTGCTCATATCTGCATCGCCCGGCTGGTTTCCCCCCTCCTCTGCATATGCGACGAGCTGTCTTCCGTGGCTCACTGTCATTGGGGGAGATCTCTTTTTTCGTCTCAGATAAGCCCGCGGAGATAAAGTTGATAGCTCACCTACATTTCATCATTTACTTGCCGCAGTCCGGCGTATCATGAGCAGCAAACGCACAAAGACATCACACGTCCACACACCGAGCTGCGCTGTCATGGTTGCTAGTAAGCAGATCCCTCAAGATGTGGATCTTTCCAATGGTTACAGCTGGTATTTGAAATACTCGTCTCTCTTTCCCGTGGTTCTCCCCAACCAAAAAAGCATATTCGGCAGGTAGTCTGATTAGTCCCTGTTGGGGCGGGCGGGCAGTGGACGCTGAATTACATCTCTTTGCATGCGGTACCTTACCTGGAAGAGGGGTTCCCTTACCTCATGTCTGTTAGCTTGCATGGTCCAAGTAAGGAAACGCTGTACTCGAACTGGGCACACGGCATACGTTCGTGCCCTTACTCAGCATGCCATCTAATGTGTAGATAGTGCAGCGTTTGTGGAAGAGAAGAAATCAAAAATCTGTCAGAAAGTCATCTCATGTTTCAATCGTTGATTCAAACGTTTCGTCAATGGCATCTGGAATACTTACCTAGCTCTGATTCAGAACGCTGTCTGTGAGGTGGCGCACATTTCCCCGCCCCTGTTTGGATCCCCGATTTCCGAGGGACCGGGGGAAGCTGGTGTGGAGGGGGAGGTCTTCGAGAGTGGACTCAGGGGAGGGCCGGGGTCACGTCACACTCTCCAAACATAGGTTGCCCACAGGCGCCTCGCACTGCTTTTGGTGGTTGCCATTACTCGATTCGCAATGATTTGCAAAAAGAAGGCTTGTTGAACCGCTCGGGCATGGGGCCGATAGGTAGGCATCCACGCATCCTAGGTATGCACCTATGCCAACCCGGCAGTGGGGTCGGTGTGCACACGCTTGAAACTTCACACTGACAGAACTCTCAACTCCTTAAGTCGAGGTGCCGCAGAGAACGAGTAGGTATCCGGTGTGTCGTGCTAAGGTGCCGGCGAGCTGCAGTAGCACTAACGCGGGTCCCGCATTGAAAATTCCAAATCGTCCGGTCCAGGGCGGGCGGCCGGGGGGCTGCGTTCGAGAAAACCCGTACAGTGTTTCTCGAAGCTATGATCCCATCTTGTCAGCAAACCGTATCTTCGATCAAACGAGGATATCTCAAAGACGTACCTTTTGTCATGGAGAAGGGGTTCTAATGACAAATTACGATGGTGAAAGGATCTTTTCTCCAAGGGACCCGAACGCCCGTCCGTGGCTGGCGCAAAACCGAGCTTTGGTTTGATCTTCACCTGCTATGAGCCCCCCCTTCCGTGCCCCTCCGCGGGGTCGAGCTGTTCGAGTTCGAGACATCAACATCCAATGCTCGCCTGACTAGCATAGTCCTGTCATGCCACAGATTGACTCGAACAGCGCTCGCAGTGAACATATTCCGACCAGGCCCCGGTATTGTCTCGCGTTGTGCTGTACTGTGCTGTACTTGGTCGTGTATGTAGCGAATTTGAGAGCAAGGATGTCATCCAGACTTTTGTTGATATACGGTGCAACAAGGATGAGCTGCCCGCAGGTCGAACAGAAACGCCAAGGAACTCAGGATCGCCGTGGCCTGCAGCGCTGACAGAAACGTCTCTCGAATTGGTGGACCCCTTCTCCTCACTGCTTCCCAAAGTTGTCCAAGGTCTTGTTTCCAGGGTTGGGTCGTGTTCGATGTCCCGGCGCCGAAGGAGCCCAAGCCTACCGCCACGAAAGGGTATGGTCTCTCGAAGCTTTATGAAGGACTCGTCGGATGTATAAAAAGAAGTTATTTTCCCTCATGAACGCTGTTGTCGATTCCTCCTCCCAAAGAACAAAGCACAAACGCCAATCTTCGGAAAGTATCTCAACGTCTCAAAACCGCAGCTTGAGTTGTGGTCGCAGCCAATTCACCATCGGAAACTCCCATCCTACAGTTTCGGACACTTCTCCCCGCTCATCCGGTCTGGATCCAGGATCGGTACCTCAATAGGGTAAGTGACGTCGTCGGAAATATGTAAGCGCCTCGAGTGGTGTTCGGAGGTCGCCAGCTAAAACCTGATGCGCCACCAGATACCCCGCCCCCTCCATCGACAGAAACAAAAAGGGCTTGCTCCCGTCTGGTGTTTGTCCAGTTGGAAGTTTTGCTGCACTGCACTGTCTTTCAACGACTTCGAAATTGTTGTTGTTCTCGAAGAATTCCAACCCTTTTCAAACGTACCTCTCCGACTTTGATTCACATATCCAAAATGCCTCTTACGGGACACTGCCTCTGCAAGGCCGTCACCTACAAGGTGGACGTCGATGCCCCTCTCATTACGGGCTACGACCACTGCGACGATTGCCAGCGCCAGAGTGGCTCAACATACTGTACGTGTTCTCTCTGCTGCTTTCCCACATAGCCTTGTCGTAGCATAGAAGCGGATTGCTCGATCATTCGGCTTGTAACCTGGGCGTGTCTTGGTTGCTGACCCTGGATTAGCCCTCGTCGCCGTTGTCCCCAAGGATAAGCTTACCATCAACGGCCCTACAAAGAGCTGGGCAGGCAAGGGCTCATCAGGCAAGGATGTTCACCGCATCTTCTGCTCCGAGTGTGGCTCGCCAATTGCTCACGACCCCGATGCGGCCCCAGAGATCATCGCTCTCAAGGCTGGTACCCTCGATACTGAGATTAAGAAGAACCTGAAGCCGGTAAGTCGAGCCACGAACCCAACACCTATCGAAGGCACTCTCTCCATTGTCGTGGCTTTGGTTTGTGATGGTGGCATAGGCGAAGGTCGTGACTAATGCGTTATCTCCAGGACACCGAGATTTGGACCGTCGGCAAGCTGCCTTTCTGCCAGGAGAACTTGGCAAAGCCCTTCAAGCACATGCCCGAGTAAATTCAGGCGCACGGAAAATCGAATGGAGTTGAGATGCACGTAAGATGGGATATACCCCTAGGTCCTTGGATGAAGGGTCTGGGACCCAAATTATATGCTGTGCGTTGAAGGGAACAAGAGTAGCACGGATGAGTTGGATGTGGGAAATTTGTGGGTGTGGTGGATTGGCGTGAGAACCTGGAGGGTTATGATGGCATCGGGCTCGACTCGACCTTCCATTGACCCACGTCCGTCGTTACCCAAGTATACCCAGCTATCAGTTTAGCTCGGACGAGAGATTCTGGAAGGAATCATTAGAAATTGAATGCAAGGCAATTGTTCTACAAAGACACATTCGATCCTGCCTCGCAGTCCAGGTGACATCCTTGTCCAAAGCGCCATCACTGCAATCCGAGTGTCACGTGTAAGAAACGAGTTGCATTTAAGAAACTCCCATTTTAATTTTCGATCATGTCACTTATCACAGTCACGGCTCAGCCGAGGAGAAAGGGAGAGGTGCATTGATTCAATACTCATTAAAACTTGAATCGTGAACAGTGCCAAACGTTATCATTACTTCCGTCACCAGACATCTCTTAAAAGCCGCCCTTCCCTCACGCGACGACCAGCATTCTGCCTCTCCAGCAATCTCTTACAGTCCTGCGAAAACTGCAATACCAGCAGCACCCATCAAGAGGCCACCAGCAGCGTAAGTCGGCATCGCACCACTACCAGCGGTTGTGCTCGTGGCCGCGGCACCCGAAGCTGTACCGGTGGTGGCAGTTGAAGCACGGGTAGATGAACTACCAGTTGCTCCCGAAGCTGAGCCAGTCATAGCAGTAGTAGGGCTCGTCGTCGTGCGGCTAGCAACAGCAGTGGCACTCGCAGCTGCACCAGTGATGGTGCCAGGTCCCTGGGGGCCGCTAGCCGTGTAGTAGAGAGAAATAGCCGTGTTGCTGGGAGCTTGATCGCTTGTGGCAGTGGCCCCAGTGGTCACGGGAGTAGCAGCAGCCTCGATGCCGGAGTAGATGCTGGCGAAAACAGCAGTGGGAGTACCTGTGCAGAGAGCATTGGAGGCAGATGAAAGGACGCCGCTGTAGAAAGCTAAGTTTCGCTCGCTGCGGAGACCGTGAATAGTGAGGCATCGTTCGCAAGCCAACTTCTCAGCGAAGAAGCTACCCCCGCAGATGCATTGGGCGTGTGCCTCGTAGTCGATAGGGTTGGTGCCATTGGGTTGACAGGCGAGCTCAATGTTCTCGATTTGGACGCAAGGGGGAAGCTGGGCACCAGAACCTGTCTGAGGCTTGCAGACAACGTCTTGGTAGGGACGGCTGGTCTGGCGGATGTCGAGAAGGGCTGGGATAGACCAAGCCTGGGCGGTAGAGGGAAGCATGGCTGCGAGGCCAGCGATGATGGTTGTCTGTCTCATTTTGGTGTAGTTTGTGTGTTTTGACAAGCCGGTCAAAGTAGCGTGGTAGTAAGGAGTTGGATGATGAAGGAATTGTTCGAGAGGATAGATGCAATGGCAATGGATGTGGGTATTCCAAAGGAGTTTGGTTTATTGGTGTAAGTGGTGAAGGCAATTGTGGAAGACTCTGATGATGTGTACACTGTAGTTGGATGGGAGAAGAGGAGATGGGTCGGGAAGAGAATTGAGAGAAGGGGATTAAGAAGAAAAGGAACAAGAACACAAAGGCATTGTCCAATGAGTAGGCTGCTGCCTGTATCACAACCAACGGCAAGTGCTCTCTTGCTGTGACTACCTCATTTGCCAAACCGGGTTTTCGTACCTGACCTTACCTTGCCTTGCCTTGCCTTACCTGCCTCGACTACACTAGCATCCAGGAGGGGGGAGGAACAGGCGTGAGAACGCATGCGTCGAACCGGGGCAAACGGGGGAGGTATCGTGGACAGGATATCCAAAGTTTGGATCTTTGGTGTTTGACCTTACCCTTGTGGTATTCCTTGTTTACCTTGGGTCATGCAAGAATACGTTTTGCCGTCATTACCGCAACTAATGCGCCATTAACGGCAAGGTGTGCCGGAGGGGAATGTTGCCAGAACAGACGGTTTCTCACGCCGGCGGAAATTGAATATTGCGGCACAGCTAAACACCTCGTTCACTCCTGTAGACGCACACACACATGGTGCAAGTTGTCCAGTCACGGTCGAGGAAGATTTCGCGCCGAGTTGAACCAACTCGAGCAGCTGGCCGAAATTGGCCTAGTGACGCAAGGATGGCACTGTCCACACCTTCAACTGATGGGAAAGCTCGGGCGCAAGTGTGGAGTCAGAAGCTGTCCTTTTGACAGGGGAGCAACACCTTATCGAAGGTGCTTACCTAGCGCCAAGCGAAGCAGCATCCCTAAACATCGTCGACCCCATCGGAAGGCTTGAGGATATGGAGTACCTTGGTGTTGGACTCTGAGCTTCCTGTCCCTTCTTTTGCGGGGACTCGGGGTAAGTGCATCTGAAGCACCATGCGAGGTACTAATGCTTTGACTGAGTTGCTGCCGCTGGCCAGTCTGAAGGACTGCATAACGCTTCATCCTGCCCCTTCCCGTTGTCGGGTTACTCGTGGCATAGGTACCTTACCATACCTATGGTAACTGCTACCTCCTCAACTGGGCAGGAACCAGCTGGACGGCTCGATCTCATATTGTTCGGTCTGGTTCCTTCCGTCGCAAGTGACATGGCAGGTTTTCCTCAAGGGAAAGTGGCACTTCGACGCCCAATAGCTGCAGCAGCAGCAGAGGAACCTTGATCAAGAAGGAGCAAGGGATCACTCCCTGGCACCGCATCGAATGATCGAGGTACTGCTCATCAGTCGCGAGGCGCCTTCAACCACGTGCCTGCCACAAAAAGCTCGGGGCAACCACCGTTCAACTCTATTCCTGCAGGCAATGCCGCAGGGGTAAATTAAGCTTGCTTGTACCTAGTAAGCATGGTCTTGCCTGTATCTCATTGCGAAGGTCCCCAGATGTGGCAGGAAAGATGCTGATCTGTTCGACGACGCACCTCCGTCGTCTTTTACAGAACATCCAACGGCAGACAACTGAAGTATACCAGGCTGTTTTCGACTTTTGGAATTCGAGTCGGCACTTTGTTCTGTGGTTTGGGGACGCATACAAACGAGGCCCTCTAGGCTTGGTAGTGCGCGTGTCATCCTACGTATTCTAGTGCCGCATCGTGCGTACCCAACCACAATCCAGCACTTTAAATGCAGTTGATTTCATTCCCGAATTCGATCGCCGGTCAATGTGAAAAAATCGAGCCGGACATATAATTGCTGCATGAGCCTGCCACTGGCCGCTGGGAACGGTCCCATCAACACAGGATGGCCTGGTCTTGAGACCTATGTCTTTGCGACTCGCACCCAAAGCCCGAGTGTCTTTGTTTGCGGCACTATCTCACTTCGACGTCTGTCTTTCGGTGTAGGAAGACGCCGCCCTAGCCTCTCGGTCAGCTTCCAAGCTTGGTCTGGGCTTGCATTGTGGCAGAAACAATGTAGGCAGGGTGCTTGCAGTGCCGCTGAAGTTGGCGGAACATTATCTTCAGCTGGGCTCAGCCATCCGTCTGGCTCGTGTGGCTGAAGAACAAGTAAACGACTGATTATATGGCACTCCTCGCCATCTGATATTCCAATCTCGCGAGCTACACATTGTCCCGAAATAGACACTCATCCCGGGTTCCTATTGCAAGTATGCGCTTCTTCCAAGAGCTCGCTGTCGCTGTCGTGAGTCTCGCGCTGCTGGCTTCGGCTGTTGATCCGTCTATACATTCTCGACAGGCTCAGCAAAGTCTCAGCAATGCGCTGACAATCCACGCCGATCTCTCTGCGTTCAACGGCATGCTGAACAGCTATCCGAGCATCATAAGCAACATAAACGCCGGGACGAAAAACAAAGTCACCCTCCTGGTGCCAATCAATGATACCCTCGCCAAGTTTCTTCAACAGTTCAAAGTCAGCGAAATCACGCAGCTTCCAGTGAGCCAGCTCTTGATCATCTTTCGATACCGCAGTCTAGATGCTGCGTTGACGGCTGCAAACTTCAGCGGGTCCAGAGGCATCACAGTCCCCGCCAAACTTCGAGATGAGCTCTTCAACCTTCGGACACCTGGCCCTGCCATAATTGACCAGTGCGGCGAAGACGCTCAGGGTCAGGTGCTTTTTGGTTCGCCGAGCACCATCAATCCCGCCAAATTCAGAATTAGGCAAGGGACGTCTTCCGATGATCACACCGCAAGCCTACGCGGTGGTCTTGATCAGACTGCCGAGATCACATCCATCGATGGAGTGTGGGATGGCGGATACTTCCAATCTGTTGATGCGTGAGTCCATACCCCTACGCGTACATTAAGGGACTCATGCTGATGGCCTCAAAGTGTTCTAGAAGCGCCGGCAATATGCTCCGCCACCATCAAGAAGCTCTCAAGCTTTTTATCGGCTCTTGGAGATGCATTGGATAAGATGAAGCTACGGAAACAACTTGACAATACCGCCATCACATGCTTGGGACCCAACACGGCTGCTTCCAATGAGGCAGGCAGCCCCCAGATTTCGTTCGGAAACGAAGACTTCAAAATCGCATTACTGTGAGTTGCGAGTCACGGACTCGGAACATAGCTCTCGGTCAACTGACCTAGGGAAAGCTTCCACATTCTACCTCGGGCAGCTTACAGCGACTTCCTCGTGGATGGCCAGGAATTCAACTCGATGGCCAACGTGACTGTCCGCGTCACGCTTAAGGATAACGAGATCTGGTTCAACGACGCAAAGGTCATCAGCCCCAACGTACTGTAAGTAATACCACGTACAAGCACTGCCTGGCCGGCAATTATACCTAGGCAATGATGCTAATTGGCTTGTGGCAGGACTAAAAACGGACTCATCCACATATTGGACCGCGTGATGTCCGCCAATGCCCTGCCGAACTCCTCGACTTCCTCGCCGACCGGGACGGGCTCGGCTACCCCTACTTCAAGTGCTACGCCCCCGAATGCTGGGAACCCCATGTCAGAAAACATTCGTTGCGCCGCAGTCATTGCTCTTGCGGCTGTTGTGCTGCTCATATGAAGCCATGTCTTTACGGACGCTGAAGGGATTTCCCGCCTCTCTGACGGAGGAGATTTACAGGGGAAGGAGGATATTGCAGTCGGTATGGAATTGTGTAGGTATACATAGCTGCGGTACTAATCGAGTGAAGCTCATTTGCTGCTGAATCAGCCCTTATATCCGAGGAGTTGGGATTTTCAACATTGACAAGTATACTCAGGACAGGAAGCCCGGGTGATCTTGTTCATGCGTGGAATTGTGAGCAATTTAGTATGACAAGGTAGAAGAGGGAAGGCGGCAGGTGGCGCTGTCATCCTGAGAATAAACAGACTTTCAAATGAACAAACCACGAGAGCCAAACCCATCTAGGTCCCGTCAATTCCATTCCCGTCACCAGCCAGCAGGTGCCCGTCTAGGACGGGTCAGGTCAAACTGGCTGGGTGGTGGAGTGGTTTGAGGTCAACAATCAAAATCGCCAACCAGCCTACTCGACGACAGGCTCAGCGCATATGAGAGTACCCGAGTTCGAACCCTAGCATGAGCACCCAGAAATTGATTTTCCCAGCATGAGCACCAAGAGATGTAGCCCCCAGTTCGGCATCCAGGGGGTGGGGGGGGGGGTTGGGTTAGCTCCTTTGTCAGTTTGGATCAAATCTCTTTTGGTGTATTTTGGTATTTGGATATGCGGTCACCAGAGAGACATGTTTGTTCTATCTGGTGATGTCAGCAAGACGAGCATGAGGGTATAATGATTACGACGTCGACTGCGGCTCACTCAGGAGAATAACTTCTTTTCCTGAGTATCTGAAGATCGGGATCATCATCTCAGGTGCCGTTGGTAGGCCGGCAGCTTTTGGGAGTCAAGAGATGTTTTGATCAGCTCTAGCAATTTTGATAGAAAAAAAAACGCCCAGGATGCAGCCACCATTTGACAGTACATTATTTCCGTTTATATATCAGATCAACGGGGACTCATCCTAAGGAAATTCACACCAATGTGCGATTGATCTACAACTTTGCCACTCTTCAGACAACAATTGTCTAGTAACCTAGGTGACGCTTTCGCAGGCTGTTGCTCTGCCGTTGTCAATGTCTGTCTTATCTTACTCTGATGAAGTCGTGATATGATCTTTCTGGAAGGTTGCCAAGATTGTTGTCTCACATACGAAAGAGGGCGAGAACCCTAGCAACGCGGGATGCCTCTGCCCTCTGGAATCCTCACCGACTAGCTCGTCCCAAGGATCTACCGTGCATGTCAAACCTCATCCGGCCGATCCGCTCTGCGCCAGTTTGCTTGCTTACATTCGCGTTTCGTTTCGTGAAGCTAGAATTAACCATCCTGTATCGTGCCGCGAAACGATGGTATTGGGACTGTCGAAAAAGTTTCACTAAGAAGATGTGAAAGCTGGCCTTCAAGTCGTGGATAACTCAGCAACGCCCGCTTGCTTCCAACTAACATCCCGGAATCCGATCATATCATCCTGGCAAGAAACGGGAGCTCCTGTCTACGTCACTTTCCTACTAAAAAATCGGGACCAGAGCCACAGCCTTATCATCCGCTTGGGTCCCTTATTTCTGGAGATTAGGATCATATTTTGTGGCGCCCTTTGGTGCGTTTGCGTGGGGGGTCCGTCCGTCTTCAAGCTAAGGGAGGGAACTAAGGTAAGACACACAATCCTTGGGTTTCTTGCTCATGCTGAGCTGTTCCCCTTGGAGTCCGCGCCAGCTTTGAAGGTAGTCCCCTCTCCTCCCCCCCTCGAGCAGAAAAAAAAAAAGAGAGAAGTTGAAGGAGTCAAGTTCAGACTACCACCTTCATCCCGAATCAGTCCACACAGTCCGCGATTCCAGAAGTCCGCATCGCAACCCCGGTCTACCCAACAAACCTCACACGAAAAAGAACATCAATTCTTCCCTACTCCGCAGGCAAAAAGAAACACGGGGCGGACCACCGATGGGGCTTCAACGGCCTCCGAAAGGAGGGACCCACGTATCGGTCATGCTTCTCCGCGCCGTCGGCGATCTCCCCGCAATCATCTGGGAGGTCCTGGCCGCCATCGCATGGGAAGGGTGGGTCTCCATCACGAACCAGCTCCGTCTCCTCATGGCGACCTACCCGCTCATGGTCATCTTTTTCCTCTTGTCCACCAGCGGCGGGCCCCTCGACATCACCGTCCTCGTCAGCACCTGCTGCATCGCCTACCTCTACGCCTCCTTTCTCTACTATTTTCGTCTACGGGACCGGCTGCCCTGGGCGTGCATCGTCGCGACGCTCCTCTGGTTCGACGGCGGCGACGGGCCCAACAGGCAGCTCATGCGCCGCGGAGCGGTCGCTGTCTTCATGCTGGCGCGGGACGACGACTGGAGCGCCGTGGTGGAGAAAAGAGTGAGGGGCCAGACGCTGCCGTGGCAGGACGGGAGCGGGTTCGCGTTTCTTTACAACTTTGAAGGGCGCGAGTTGCTGAGAGAGGTGGCGCTGTATTGGGTCAATACGCTCTGCTCGTCGTTTGGGCGGCGGCGGGTGCACGACGACTTTACGCTGCGGACTTCCATCAGGGTGATGGACGTGCTGGTGTTGCCGCTGATCGGGGCGGTGGACTGGGCTTGGCGGTACAGGCAGGCTCGGAAGCGGATGAGACTTGTCGAAGAGGAGAGGAGGAGGGGAGGTCTGGTGTTGCCGGAAGGGAATTGAGTTGAGTGACAAAAAGGAGGCACGGGTCCGTTGAGGTCTTCCCAAGGATGTAATTATTCTTATTCGAGTAATCGTAATAGTCCGCTTTGAAACATGGACCGTAATATTCAAAGAAACAAAGCTGGGTATCGAGTTGAATCGAAGGGAAAGTCATATACGTGCAAAATCCTCAAGGTAAACCTTTCAGGCACTGACAGGACCAGCCTCGTCCTGCCACCACTCCATAAACGTAAGAAGCCTCTTGGTCCGCTCCCGCGCCATCTCTCTCCCAGCATCCGTCTTCATCATTCCCTCCAGTCTGACGAGCTTCTCCTCAAAGTGCATAATAGATTCGTCCATGCTGCGCGCGCCCTTTGCGCCGCCAAACGTGAAGCAGCGCCCGATGCCTACGGCGCCAATGGCGTCGAGGCGGTCGGCATCCTGCACGACGGCGAGCTCCGGGTACTCTGCAATCAGCGCCCGGACGCGCGCCGGATCCTTGATCTCGCTGGAGTAGCTGACGCCGAGGCAGATTGTCTGCACGCGGACGGCGAGTTCCGGGCTGGCGCCGAGGGAGCTGAGGAGGGTGGAGACGAGGGTGGATGCGTCCTCGCCGGGCTGGAGGTACTTGCGGTCGCCGACGTCGTGGAGGAGGGCGGAGAGGGTGATTGTGTGTTTGTCCAGGGCCGGGGTGGTGGCTGGAGACTGCGCGTGGATGCGGTGGGCGAGAGAGACGACACGCTTGATGTGGTTGAAGTCATGGGAGGCGTCGTATTTTGCCATGTAGGCCTCGACGTACTTTGTGACCTCGGAAACGAGCTCCTCGTTGGTTGGTGATGTGGTTTGAGCCATATTGGAAGCCGGGGCCTCTGACTTGAGAGTCTGATGGATCTTGAACGTCTGCGGATGAGAAAGCTTGTGTTTGAAGAACTGAAGGAGACTGGGTCGTCGATGGCGTTTATCGATAGCAATGGCAAGACTTCTCGTTGATGGATTTGTAATCCGACCTTTTCAGCAGGGCTTTACCTTGAGGACGTCTAGCTAGATTGAGGGACCGAATTGATGAAAGAGGGGCTGCTGCTGCCTTGGATCGTTGACTCAGGCCGGCAACGTAATAACTCTCGGACGCGATTTTGTTACGACGCGCCGAAGTAGACAGTCGCGAGATCGTTGAAAAGGAACGCGCTATCAGGTGACCCTTCACGTGATAAAGGTCAACTGTAGGTGGATACCGCCGCTTCCAGTCTCCACATGGCTCATCCCTCTCACGGGCGATCCCGCTGTTTCCCGCCAGGTCCTCCCGTCACCAACAAAGACCACAGGCAAACGGCACACTATCACGGATCTTGGACGTTGGCCAAGCATCCGGGGAAAAACTTTCAAAGACCAAATCTCTTGTAATGCTGCAACACACGTAACACTCTTGAGCGCCCAGCTTGTCAGCCGACATCGATCTTACCACTCTGAGGTCAGACCGCTTCAAGCTCGCAGTCGCTTTGTGAGACATCTGTCGGCATCAAGGAATAGGCCGATATACCAGAGTTGCAGCCCGCTTAGGAGGCGCCGTACTGTCACAATCACAACCCTCTCTTCGCTTTCTGATCAATCTGATGGAGTGACAATCTCGATGGACCTTTCGCACATTTGCGCTCCAGAACCACGGCAGGCATCTCTACATCCCAGATCCCAGATCCGATGAGGGAAATACCACGAGCGGTCTTGCCGTTCCGTTCAACGGGGACTATGGTCCATCAGTGTGATGGACCTCACATACCCGCCGAGACTAGAGACGCATGGAGCCGGATGACGCACCTTGGATACTATGCCGAAGGAGGATGGTGAGAACTGAGAAAGGAAAAAACTGACGCCGTTTCTACAATTCACCTCCATCATCTTCTTGAGGTGTGTGTGGCTCAAGGGTCACGCAGTCGCAGCGGATGTCGACCGAAGGCGGAGAACGGCAGTTTGTACTTGGCGGGCCGCACCACGATCGGCCATGTCGACTGACAGGCCCAGACCGCCCAGGGCAATGCCCACGCTGCCAGTCTGTGCCACGGTAGACAAGGCAGAGAAGCAGGCACTTTAGAGTATGCTGCCCCGTTTCCTGCGCCCTTTCCAGCTCCGGATCTCGGTAGTGTTTGATCTCCTCCAGCCCTTTGGGCCAAGTCTGTGGGGGTTGTCTTTGGGCGTTACCATCGTTCCGGTTTGAACTGACGATGAATGCATATATGAATAGCTTTATCGACATTCCCATAGACAGAGCTTGGATTTCCTGCATTGCCAGATCTCGAGAGAGTCTACCGTGGTTCGAAGTCTAGGCAGGTACGGAAAGCAGCTGGCAAACCGGAGGACGCAGACAGGTCTGCACATCACCCAGGCAAGCACCCAGGGAACCAGGAACATGGCTTCTGGCATCATGTTTGCTTCCCTTTCTTCCGACTCGCGCGATCTTCGATTCTTCCCTGGTCGAGCGGCTGGAAAGAGGACGGGACGTCAAGTGACAATTCGGATACTCCAATGAGGAAGGACATCAATCTCAGCAAAAGCTCGCGCATTTACATGCAGACGGCATGCATATTGACTCGTTGCATGATGCAGTATGCCAGTTGACTGTCCGCTTGATGCGGCCATAGGCATACGGGCGAATACCGTGCGAGAATGGAGAGATGTGGCTTTTCTGCTCATCTATCAAGGGCACGAGGATGAGCCAATCCCAGCTGGACGGCAGCTATTGACTATGTTATTGAGGAGGGCTGGGACCCTTCTTGTGAGTGGTGATGCTTTCGCAAACCTGCGTCGTCCCGCGCATATTCATGATTGGCTCGACCTGCAGCACATCACTTTAACAACTTGGTGATGGGGTGATAAGCGACCGGGCACAGAAGAGCGTTGGACGTGGGCTATTGGCCAATAACGGCAGGGATTTAGACGCCCAATTCAAGCCGAAAAGGACGACCGGCCCCACATCTCACGCAAAGATCGGAGGGAACGTGGAAATGTGGGAACGTACCGCGCTTTAGTCCCGGTCATCTCCACTTTTCTCTTCTATTTTCGCCGACGGCTGCCCAGGGATCCCCTCTCTCCCTCTCTCTCTCTCAACTCTCACCTCTTCCAGGCTCCCCTCACCATGCAGCTTAACCGCCCAGCGTGCAGACATGGCCCATCCTGGCGGCCATCTTATGGTAGCACCACTAAGGCAACGAGCAACAAAAAAAGAGGTGACGGCTACGATGGTCTCCCCATCGACAGAAAAGCTGCTTTCGTTCCTATTTGCCAGTACACCTTGGAGAGAGGGCACACAGCCAACCACAGTACACAGCTGTGTGTGAGTGTCCATTCTTGGACGAGGGGAACCCCGGCCGGCTGATCCTTTTGACGTTGCCCGCGAAGCTCATCACCAGTGTGATATTGGTTGCTTGCATCGACCATCCACAAGCCTCGTCCTCCCCAGCCATTCTCTCATTGGGCCGTCCCGTCGACTGACGCTTGATTTTTTTGCACGCTACTGTGTACGGCACGCTCCACAGTCTACACTTTGTGCTGACGAGAAACAAGTTCCCCGTTGCGTTGCTCCAGCCATGAACCGGCGCCAGTAGCACCGCATCTCGAGTGGCTGTCTAGGTTTCCCAACCCACCACCAACAAGGTGACGGGAGCGCAGAGGTAGCGGACACTAGACGGGTGGAAGAGACATGTGGTGGTGGTGTTGGCCTCAACCATGGCCGGCCTCTCCTGGGCCTCCTAGGACGGGCCGTCAAACCATATAATGGAAGCATCCCATCCTCTTCGATTCCCTTTCCTCTTTCTCTCTTCAGCAAGCAATCAAACAACTAATTCCAGTTCTTCGTTTTTTCACCTCCTCCCTTTTTTGTTCTTTCTTCTTTCCATAGAGCCGGTCTCTATCTTAATTCACACTCCAAACTAATACCCAATTTTTGCAAATCATCACCACCAAAGTTGCCGGTCAACTTATCCCCTAGTAACGGAAATCTGGAATTTCTTGCTCAACGCACATTATTCAGCAAAATCACTTAATCGCAGCACCCGTTTTAACGTCAAATACCGCAATAATGTCGTCCACTCAACTCTCCTTCTCCCTTCGTGTTTCCTCCGGTGTCAAGACCGTCCACTTGCTCGGCTCCTGGGACGGCTACGTCGGCCAGCTCCCTCTCTCCAAGGACAAGACTTCCTCCAAGTCCGGCTCATGGAAGGGCACCTTCAAGTTTGGCGGCTCCACTCTCTCCGCCGGCTCCCGCTACTGGTACTACTACATCATCGACGGCTACCACGTCGCCCACAACCCCAGCGTCGCCTCCACCGTTGAGCCCACCACCGGCCGCGAGCTGAACATCCTCGACCTTCCCGCCGGCTCCAAGTCCTCCAGCAAGTCCAGCTCCAAGTCCAGCAGCACCAGCTCCTCCAAGTCTTCCTCAAAGTCCTCTTCCCACTCCTCGTCCCGCAGCTCCCGCCACTCCTCCAAGGACAAGGACTCCAAGTCGAGCCGCCACCGCTCCTCGTCGCGCGACATCCCCAAGGGACGCCCCCTCTCCGTCTCCCAGATCAAGGCCCCCAAGCCCATGTCGCCCCACGCCACCCAGCACATCCTCAACAGCGATTACTGCGACGACGAGACCATTGAGGAGCTCACCGCCCGCTTCGGCGCCGCTGGCTTCGACGAGGAGGACATCGTCACCGACTTCTCCGCCTCCGGCTCCCCCGTCTCCTCCACCGGCTCCAGCCTCTCCTACCGCTCCGACAGCTCCAGCCCCAGCTCCTCGCTCTCCGGCTACAGCACCCCCGGCTCCGACGTCAGCACCTGCACCTGCGAGCGCTACGGCATCACCCGCAAGGGCGACCGCGTCAAGATCGACTGCGGCGGCGCACGCTGCGGCTACGACGACAGCTCCGACTGCTCCGACTCCGAGTCCGAGGAGGAGGAGGAGTACGCTCCCTCCACCACCCGCCGCCACGGCATCGTCGTCAGGTGAAGAGCTTTCAATCCTGCCCTGGGATGGGAACCACCACCAAAAGGAAAACCACCAAATACACGAAGATAGAAGGCCCCCATGTGGCCCGTACATTCATTTCGTCGTGCGATTGCCCCGCGCTCGCCGACGTGCTAATCATTGCATCCACCGAGGAAAGGCAGTTGCGAACCCGAGCCGGTCTCGGGTCCGCCCGCCTCCTCGTTCCAAGTGGGTCGATGCTGCGATCCCGCGCCGCGGTGGCTGCCGCGTGCGTGAACCAAACTCAACCGTTTCGTTTGTCATGTTCCTCACTTGACAACAGCGGAGCCATCCTCGTCGTTCACCTTCGTAGTTGGAAGCGAATGCGAGAGACCAAGACTCCAGGGGTTGGAAAAGGAGCCAGCGCATCCGCCGCTCCTGGGGATGACACCGTTTTCAAGCGGCTGCCGGGGGCTGGGCTTTAGGAAAGCTCCCGGGCATGGCTGTTTTTTTTTTCATGAAAGCAAATTCATGTAGAGAGTTAAGATGACCGCCACAGGCGGCTATGGGTAGATGCCGATTTGAATCTATTCATCATTTGAACGCAACCTCAACTGTGCACCCGCTGCGTGATACAAGTGACAAGTGCCCGCCCTCAAAAGCGTGTTTGAACAAACGTAGAATATAACACTGCCATCGCAATTTGAATGAGTCTCCCTGTACGGAATGTCCAAATTCGAACCCTGCCCAGAAACGTTTGTAGTAAACATTGAATTGCCGAAATTGGCAAGTGGGCGATGTCTACACCGGCAGACCGGACGGAGTCCAATACGCCTTCGTTGTCCGTGCCGGAGGTGGTCCGCCACCCTTCTCCAGCATAAATGCCCCGAAAGGTCGGTGCTCGGGAGAAAGATCCCCTGAAGAAAGGCGGTGGGGGAGCACTATCCAACAACGTCAGAAAAGGGGGGACCGGGCAGTGGGGCACTAGAGCGTCAGGACAAGGGTGTGCGTCGCTGTTGCAACCCCGCGATGTCAAAGAAATAGGTGCGGGGACTCCACGTCTCTCGGGCTCTCTCCTCTCTCATCTTCTCCTGGCCTAGCTCAAGTGTCCTCCTACAACAAAAGACGCTGAACTTTTCGTCTTCAGCCTCACTCTTGACATTCATCCTGGACGAAATAGATCAATTGAAGCCCCGAAAGCACCCAACTTCCCATAAACTCGAATCGGCAAGCAGCCCCCCCGAAACATCCCCAAAGCCCACCATGGCCGCCGACTACCCCATCATCGACTCCCACATCCACCTCTACCCAGGGCAAGAAATCGAGACCCTCGCCTGGGCGACCCCCGAAAACCCCCTCGCGAAGCAGCACTCGGTCGAAGACTACGTCGCCGCCACCGGCTCCCCCGCAAACCTCAAGGGCTTCATCTTCCTCGAAACAGACCGCAAACACGACCTCAAAGCCGGCGCCCGCGATGCCTCCGGCTGGGAGTTCCCCCTGATGGAAGTCTCCTGGCTCCGCCGTATCGCCGAGGGCAAACCCCGCGACGGCGAGGGTCACGGCCCCGACCACGCCAGCCTCTGCCTGGGCATCGTCCCCTGGGCGCCCCTGCCGTCCGGCGCCGCGGCCATGGAGAAGTACCTCGACCACGTAAAGACCGTCGCGGGCGACGCCGTCTGGCCCAAGATTCGCGGGTTCCGGTATCTGTTGCAGGATAAGCCGCACGGCGCGGGGTTGACGGACGACTTTATCGACAGCTTGAAGCTCCTGGGTAAGAGGGGCTTCGTCTTCGACATGGGCGTCGACCAGCACCGCCGCGGTAATAAGCAGCTCGATGAGGCGTTGGAGATTATCTCCCGCGCTCACGAGGGTGTTCCGGAGGAGGAGAAGGTCACCTTTGTCATCAGTCAGTCACCCTTCCTTCCTCAGTAACCCCATGAAGCCAAGCCGAAAAAGCTAACAAACACTCCCCAACCAGACCACCTCTGCAAACCCGACCTCGGCATCATAAACACAACAGACCCCTCCTTCGTCCACTGGCGCACCGCAATCTACGCCCTCTCAAAGTGCAGCAACACCTACATGAAACTGTCCGGCGGCTTCTCCGAGATGCCCGACTCCCTCAAGAAGCAGGACCCCAACGCCATATTCGAGGCAATCTTCCCCTGGCTCGGCGTCGTCCTCGCCACGTTCGGCACCCGCCGCACAATGTTCGGCTCCGACTGGCCCGTCTGTACCGTCGGCGTCGACGAGGCCTGGCGCAAGTGGAAGCTCCTCGTTGAGCGCACCTGCTACATGGCCACCCTCGAGCCCGAGGACCAGGCGGCCCTGTTTGGCGGTACCGCGATCAAGGCGTATGGTATCGAGGGGCTTTGATGATGATATTTGCTGTTGTGTTGTTTGAACGCTGTCTTATGATTCTGATTTGAGTATGGTGGGCTTGCAGATCGGGGCTTTATGAGAAAGAATGAAATCGCTGGGTTCACAGCGTCTAGGGATGACATCGCCAGTTTGTACCTGATGATTCGACGGTGGGGGCGGGCGTGGGTATGAGGTTCCATGAGGATGATCGATATATTACGACTTTGCACACAGATACCACAAAATCAACTACGTGTTTTCTCCGCCCTATAACGACCATGTGAACAAAAGATGCAAAATAACAAAAGAGTTCACCCCCCCGGTGCCGATTTGGGGGCTACATCTCTGGCGCTCATGCTGGGAAACTTCTGGTGCTGATGCTGGTATTCGAACTTGGGTACTCGTATGCGGTAAGCCTGTCGTCGAGTAGGCTAGTTGGCGATTTTAATTGTTGACCATTAACCATTCCACCACCCACGCCACAGTTTGACCTGACCCCCGACCTAGAGGGCGCCTGCTGTGCTGGTGACAGAATTGGACTTGGAGGGGTATATGAGGGCTTGTTGTGTATTCGTGTGGTAGACAACAAAGGTATCGGATGAATAAGTTTGTGATGTGGATGGGTGAACCAGGGGAAGGAAGGTGTGTGAGTTGGTGGTGGCAGCCCTGGCAACCGTTGAGGTTCCCGGTCTTCGCTTTTTGCTTCTCAGAGTCAGCAAGAAGAACTCGCCTCATGAGCACATGTATGAGCCATAACGCAATTTTATTGAATGCGAGCAATCCGAGTTAATTCGTGAGCTTCCCTTCCTCGCTCAACCTCCCATATCCTCGATTTCAGCCCTTCAAGAATGATCAAAGGGCCCCCAAAAACACGTAATCCTACTCTTCAAGTTCCTACCCTTGTATAAACCGACACCCTTGCTATCCTCCAACGATCGATATGAAGATATCTCGCCGTACAAATACAATTCAGAATTGATCTGAGAGAGCCGCCCTTCGCTAGCTACTCTGAATCCGTCCCTTTCACCCATGTATGCCATGTGCCCCAATGATCTCCATAGCCAAACCTTTGAGATGGCTTAGACCACAGCTCACTCCTGGAGTCAGCTAGGAATAGGCCGAAGTGCCCTCTTGGCCTGTCTCGCCTTGCATTCAAGAGCATAGCCGGGCTCGTTTGCCTTGCGCCACTCGATGTACGCCTCGTAACTCTGTTGACCAACTGTATCAGGGACTCGCGGCTTGGCAGCGCATCTGGGCGCCATGCTAGGACCGAACACAGGAGCATTTGCGTTCAACAAAGACCCGTGACGAGGTACCGGTGCTTGTGTCGGAAAGGGAGCTGTCCAAGGCCCGGCAATAGGCACTGCCGGACTGTTGGCCATCTGTCGGACGAAACCAATGGCTGGAGCAACGCGGCTTGTATCGGAACCATGAGCATGTTGGGGTAGAGTAGACCGAGTTGGATTGAACGGTGACCTGAGGGGCAGCAGAGGGGGGGCGGTTGCGTTGTTTGCTAATGATGGTGTAAAACCTGGAGCAGATGGATCGAATGGTGCGGCAGGCATTTGGGTTGAAAAGTCTAGTGGAGGTCTGACAATATTGTTCTGTAGACCAAAAGCTGGACTAAGAGATACTGGAGGAGTTTGTTGGAAAAGTGACGGATGCAATGTTGGTCTCGGCACGGAGGTGGTAAAGTTGAATGGTGGAAAAGCTTGCGTTCCTTGGATGCCAAACTTTGCGATTGTGTTGGCAATAATCTCGTTTGGATCTTGTTCGGGAGCTTTACTGAAGGTTTGGCTCACTAGTTGCTCCAGAAGAGAGATGATAGTTTTCCTGTCCCTCTCCTCGGCCTTGTCTGATGTAGCTGAAGATGTCTGAGGAGCGAAGGTGGAAAACTCCCTTGCTAGTGGGTTAAGAGTTAGAGCCTTGTGCGGTCCTCTGGTATCGATACCAGAATCCTCGGAAACTTGTCTTGGGCGAGTATCGCCATTTCTGGCGACCTTGTGTTTTGACTGTTCGTCTTGCAAAGGTCGCTGGAGTTTTCGCAGAAGCCCCTGAAAGCGATCATTTTGATTGTGTTCGGAACCGCCATCTGTTGGCTTGGCATCCCGGAAACCAATGTCAATAATTGCTGGGTCGTGAATGACGGCCGAGTCACTCAAAATCTGAACTTTCCGCAGGTCTGTAGAATGGTTCTTGTTCCCAGCGTCATCGCTCTCTTCGTGCTTGCAAGGACGTAGAAGATCTGTCATGGAAGACTTCCGAGGTGTGATCTCGGTATCCTCCAACTGCTTACTGAAGTCAACAATATTATCGCTCCGCATGTGCGACTTGAAACGATTCGCATTTCTAATGCTGCGTATCTCTGCGTTATTGAACATGCCGTTGTGTTCCTTGCAATTGAGGTCGGTGCATTCGTGGATAAAAACGTCCAAGACCATGGAGTCAGGATCCTGCTTCTAGGAGGAGTGCTTGCTCTGACTGCTCGGAACAGGTACGACATTGACCACGGCACATTTTTTCACGCGATCGGCCAGGCCCATTCCTTTGGTTGAGGCATTGCTTTTGTCTCTGGGTATGGGATCGGTCGCGGTTTGAAAGGGGGAAACGCCAGCCACGGGCTTCCGCCAGCAGGCAGCTAACTCAGCTACGTCGTCGGAGTTGATTTCAGTACTCGAGTTTGTTCTTCGCCTTCGACGCATGCTGAGTTGTGGTGTATTACGATCGTGAGGAAGCAATGGCCTGCGCCAATTGCCAGAGGATAATGCCACCGCTGCCTTCTCCATGTCTCTGCCATGGTTGTTAGTGACATGTTCCAATCCGAAAAGAAGAAGGAAAATTGAGGCGTACGAAAGAGGAGATGCTCTAGGTTGGCTGGAACTGTCGGAAATGATGGATCGGAAGGGCAGTGTTCCCGACGGAAGTCCAGGCCGAAGCAGGAAAATAGAGCCGGAAGCTGTCAGAGGATACGATGACGACAGGCGTAATGAGCCCAAAGTGAGGTGAAGAAAGTTCTTCGCTGATGTAAAAAAACATGCGCTGAGGCCCTTAAGTCTGCGATGATGTGTCCAAAATTGGAGAGCTGAGGTGTTGGGTGTGACGTTGACGGATGATGTGGATGACGGAGGTAGGTTGGCAGAAATAAACGCGCCGAGGTTGAATTTGCTTGTCGATGCATTGCCCGGAGAATTTGCTCCGTGTGGTGGCAGATGAGGAAAGAAAGGGGAACATCGTGATCGTCGTGAGGAAACAGCAGGGTGGGTGTTCTCGCAGGTCCTCGTTGCCAGGAAGGCCTCACCAAGAAGGACCGCCCAAGTGCAGAGTCACTAGGGAAAACGCACAGTTGGCGTATAAGTTAAGTGAGTCAGAAGTCGTCCAATTCAAGTCAAGAACCACCACTATCTGACATCGTTGTCAACATACTCTTGCAAGCCTGAAGGTAAGTCCATCCTCACACTGCACCATGCGCCTTGTTGGAAAAATGCCGGGAGGAAACGTGCGTTAGTAGAGAGAGGATATCAATTTTAACACGCTAGATGTCGTAGAAAACTCGAAAATATCGCCAACTTGTGATGAACATGGGTAGAGTAAGGTATGCAAACAAAACAGCGGCCAGTGCACTCGTGAAGCCTAACCTCATCCATCGCATTACATGCCTTGATTCGCTTGTCCAGACAAGTAAGCACTGAAATGTTTCTGTGGTCCATTATGTCAGCGTTGTTCGACGACAGCACATTCGATGGACGGAAACCTACCGCATTCCTCGTCTGCATGAAGACAGTTCCTGGGCCGGTGAATTTACACACCAGACCCTCGCCAGAGGAGAGGCCAGAGATGATACCACCGGATGCGACTCGTTCCATGATGTACTTCACGTTCCATGCCACCAAGTGGCCGTTATCAACAACGTACTTTTCGCCTTCCATAAGCTGGATGAAAGTTAGCCCCTGTGTCACTTACATGGTCCTGCCCGGGGCACTTACATCTTTGCGGATAATGGCACCGAAACTGGTCAGCCAAAGTAGCCCAGTACCGCTAATCTTGTACACATACAAGCCCTCGCCACTGAAAATAGCCTTGCTGAGGCCCTGGCGCTTGTAGTCCTTGATAACGCCCTGCGTAGAAGCCAGCCAGGCGTCCTGCCCAACCGACCACGTCTCCTTGCCCGTGAGACGCAGACTAGTAACATCACCAAGCATAGGCGGCGCCAGGAGAAGCTCGCCGGGTCCGACATACGTCGAGCTCGCCAGCTCAGCGCCGGCGACGAGCTTCTTCATGCTAAACTTGATCTGACCCCTGAGCGTGATGGAATGCGACATGGCGACCATCACACCGGGCTTCGCCTGAAGTGGACACCCCATCGCGAGCTGGACGGTCAGGATGGTGTTGCTATCGCGGTGGCTGATGCGGTAGCTGCCTCCGTTGAAGGTGCCGACGTCGTCGACGGTCGCGGTGGCGCCGATGAAGTGCTGGGGCGGGGGCGCACCTCCTACGAGGTTGGACGGGTTGCTCGTGTCAACTGGTGCTTCCTCGACGTACTGCTTCTCTGGCAGGCTGGAGGCCTCGGGCGGTCCGTCGAAGGCGGGAGGCGGAGGGGAGAACTGAGGTTGCGAGTCGGGGGTGCCTGGTTGTCGCAGGGGAAGCTGCGTCTGTTGGTGTTGCTGGTGTTGAGGAGAGGGCTGCGGCGACTGCTGAGGGGGCGATTGATACTGCTGCTGCTGCTGCTGCTGCTGAGAAAGACCAGGAGGTGGCGGGTATTGCGCCTGGTTCTGCGAGGGCGTCGTGGTGCCTTGGGGAGGAGGCGGGTACGTTCTCCCCTGACTGGGCGATGCCTGCGGAGGAGGAGGATAGCTCGCGCCATGGCCTGGCGACTGGGGAGGAGGCGGATAGTTCTGAGACGTGCTTGACTGAGGAGGAGGGGGGTAGCTATTGCTGCTGCTATGTTGTCCGGCAGCTTGGGGTGGAGGAGGGTAGTTTTGCGACTGCCCTTGCGAAGGCTGAGGCGGTGGTGGATAGCTCCCGCTGTGGCTGCGCTGAGGTTGTGATGGAGGAGCAGGGTACGAGAACTTGGTCTGGTTCGCGGGAGGGGATTGCGGCGGCGGAGGGTAGTTTTGCTGGGCTGTGATTTTGAATGTCTTGTCAGCGCTTTTCCTCTGGAGACACTTTCTCGCTCAATTGGAACAACGTACCTCCCGACGGAGGAGCTGGGAGTGGTGGTCAGCACGAGTTTTGTTGCTTTGCTGGATGGCGGGGTGAGAGTGAAGAACTTACGTGGATAGTATTGGGAAGACATGATCTCTCGCTGGATGTCGCGTCTCTTCGGCGGCGTAAGCTTTGTGGGTATTATCGAGAGAAGAAGCAGACTCGAATTGAACGACAAGACGAGGTGAGGGAGATCGAGGGGAAAGAATTGGTGAGTTGATCTGGCAGCAGGTCAGTCGCACGCCAAGCTGGTCGCATCCCACCTCAGCGCCATCACCATCGCCTGCCCCGCACTTACAGTTTGTCACCCAACAGCCCAATTGCAGAGCGTCGTGATACAGTCAGCTTCAAGTTTCACGAACAGCAAGCCCTTTATCGCTTTGTCTTTGAGTCGCCGAAGCTTCCGAGAAGAATGTTTACAAGACCAAGAGTCAAAAGAGAGAAAATTGTTGCCGCGCAAAAAGGACAATGGGCGCCTCGGGGTTCAGGGCCATTAAAGAGGGAGCTTCCCACGCGCCAGAGCAATCCCGGCAAGCTTGCTGAGCTGCAGGAAGAAGCTCCGCCAGACCCCCACCCCCTGTCATGGCCATGAAATGTGGCCGCATCGCCGCCACCTACCCAGCTACCCCCCAGCTTCCCGTTGGCCTGCATGGAATAAGTGTAGTAGCTGTGGTAAGGTGGTAGGGCAGTTGTATTGGTGAGCTTTCGATGTTGGATCGTTGTCCAATCGTTGGGGGTCTGCCCAGCGCAATGGAGAGAGTCTCTAACTCTTTTGGGCGTCAGGTGAAGAGGGGCGGCGCTTAGAGACGTCCAACGGCGACTCGCCCTACCATTGGTCCTTTGCCTCTATACCTATTCCATTTCTCGGGAATTCCATGCCGGTCTCTGAGCCTTAAGAACTTTGTCAAATTTTGCGTGTCCAAGAGGATGAACCACTTCCTTTGAGTTTTTGATAGATGTCGTTTCTTACAGACATTGTCGATGGGCTTGGCTGCACCAACAACCACAAACCTGAGGTAGGTACTTACCAATACTTAGGCACATGGAATTGAGGCGTTGCCAAGTTGTGCTTGAGAGATTCCTTCAGAAGCGATTGTGAGACCTGCAGAAGATCAATCAAACATCAAACAAAAGTTTGGCTTGTGACAGACCTGAGCGGAACACAAAGTGAAATAGCGCCCGGCCGATGGAGCAACACTGGACCGGCCACATCGGGCGTCCGTCTAATGTGGGGCCGGTTCCAGCAGCGGACTGCGAGTGACATTTCGGACTGGGAAAGAGCAGAGGAAACAACATTCAAGAGAACCAACGCAGAGAGATCATTGGCTTTTTTTTTCTTCATTCATTTCCTTCGTTATCCCCACAATGACTACCTAACGCCGTTGATCCCATGCTTTTTAGTTTCTTTCCTTTTGTCTACACCCGGTCTCCCCTTTCCCTTCAGAAAGCCATCTTCTCGTGCTTGAACGGCTTCTGGCCCTCTCCCTCACCATATGCCAACGAAACCTGACCCTGGCCGCGAATCTTGTACTTGTAAATCATGAGCCCTTCCAACCCGACGGGTCCGCGCGAGTGGATCTTGTTGGTGCTGATGCCGACTTCGGTGCCGAAGCCGTACCGCATGCCGTCCGCCATGCGCGTCGACGCGTTCCAGTACACGCCAGCGGCGTCGACGGCGGCCATGAAGCGCTCGGCGTCGTCGGCGGACGAGGTGAGGATGCACTCGGTGTGCTTGGACCCGTGGGCGTGGATGTGCTGCACCGCCTCCTCGAGCGACGAGACGACCTTGACGGCGAGGTCGAGGGAGAGAAACTCGGTGTCGTAGTCTACGTCCTTGGCATCGACGACCCTCGAGGCAGCGTCACCAGAGATCTTGGACTGGAGAGCGGCCTTGGACTTGGCGTCGCAGTGCAGCGTGACGCCGGCCGCGATCAGCTCCTCCGCGGCGGCGGGGAAGACAGAGTCGAGGGCGGATTCCTGGACGAGCAGGGTCTCGACGCTGTTGCAGGCGGCCGGGTAGCTCGTCTTGGAGTCGACGAGGACCTTGGCCGCCATATCGGCGTCGGCGGAGTCGGTCAGGTAAATAGAGCAGAGGCCGTCTGCGTGGCCGAGGACAGGAATCTTTGTCGACTCCTTGATGTAGCGCACGAGCTCGTTGGAGCCGCGGGGGACGACGAGGTCGATGGAGTCGTCGAGGGCGAGGAGCTGGGGGATGACGTCGCGGGTGGTGACGAGCTGGACGGCCGGGTTGGGCACCTGGGACTTGTCGAGGGCGGCGGAGATGACTTTTGAGATTGCGACAAAGGACTCTGTGGATTCCTTGCCGCCCTTGAGGATCGCGGCGTTGCCTGACTTGATGGCCAGGGAGGCGATGTTGGCGATGACCTCGGGGCGGGCCTCGAAGATGATGAGGAGCACGCCGATGGGGCAGGTGACTCTCTCCAGGACGAGGCCGTCGTCCAGCTTGGTTCTGAGTGTGACTTTTCCGACTGCATTCAAAGTCAGAATACTGAATCACTGTTGTGCTGGTGAGTTGAGATAGAGTGAGTGTGCACATACCTGGGTCCTCGAGACCTCTTACGTCCAAAATACCCTTGAGCATATCCTCAAACTTGCCCTTCTTGCCCAGGTCCAGGCGGGACACGAGACTCTGACTCAATTGGCCATCGGCGGCGGCTTTGCGGGCGAGCTCCAGGTCGCGCGCATTGGCGGCCAGAATGTCGTCCTTTGCCTCGGCGAGAGAGGCGTGGATGGCCGTGAGGGCATCGTTGCGGGCTTCGGCAGGGAGGGTCGCGAGGATGTGAGAGGCCGATTTCGCACCCTTTGCGGCGTCGACAGGGGAGGCGTTGGTGAGGGACATGGTGAGCGGATGGGTTTCCTGTCCAATGATGTTGGGTGTGTAGTAGTTTGACGCCTTCAACCGGACTGAAAGTACAAAGTGCAAGACTTATTTACGTCTGTACACTTACAAGCTAAGGTGAGTTCGGTATGAGTCAATTCGCGACTCGACACAGCTGGGCCTGTAATCAGACTGAGGTGGTTAATGGTGCGGTGCGCCACTCGGCGGGCAGCATGTTTGGCCATGAAAATTTGGAGAGCCCCGCACTCGGAGGGGGAACAAAAGTGGTGAGTGAGACTGGACTGGGCACAGAGGTTAATAGTAAAGGTTGTTTAATTGAGTTGAAGCAACTCTACCAGACTCCAATAGCACATGGACAAACTTAAATTCAGCAACCTTATTGTCCCAGAGGCAGAAATTCAAAGTCTTTTTCAACTACTTACTTGGTATAAACCTCTTCGTTCAATACGGTGTTGACCATTCATCTCTTTTCGGCAGCTCAATTCTCGGTCGTAGTACTGGCCCAGCCATCGGAACAGGGATCAAAAAGTCTTGTTCCTGACCCGCTCTGTTGGTTGCCCTGGGAAATGTCACTGTCACGATCCGTGCCCCGAACATTCTTGGATTTTTGTTCTCTCTTGGCCTCGATGCAACATTGAATCACTTCACTCGAAATGTTTGAAGTTCAGGCTCGGTTTCTATAAACAGTCGAATACAATGCCACCTTACTCCGTACTGGCAACTACCAACAAGCTCGAGTCATGGATGGCCGGCAACCATCTCCTACACTGTCGGACATTCCGCGACAGTCCCCCCTCCAAGCCGAGGTACATTGAGGCAACGTCAGCGATTGTCAAATCTTTCAGGTTTGCGGCTTGCCCCGTACTCATCAACTTGGTTCACTGCGTGGTTCATCCGCCCTTCATCTCACCTCTCTGTGTGTAAAGAACCTTCTACTTTCAGGTTTTCCTTCACCCACGACGGTATACTGCCAAGGCATGCAGGTGACCGCAACATAGGTACATGGTATGCACTCCGCGAAGACCAGGCCTGGACAGTCTCCTCCGACCCTCTCAGAGACATCAGGGACCCATTCCGCGGCGGGAGCTACCCGTTCCGCCTGATAAGAAATAGACCCTCGATAAGAAGTAAGCCGAAAAGATTCGGGGCATGCCCCCATTAGCTCAATCATTTTCATCCCCATTGCCGATGGACCACGCCTTTCACGCCTTTGACTAAGCGGTAACAAGCCGGAAACAGGACCAAAGACGGCAATACTAAACGGCCAGTGCCGATCTTCCCACCTTTTAGATGGGAATCAGGGTACCTTCTCAATTTCTCGTAGTCGCAAGTGCTCTATTCGATCACTCCGCTAATCGAGGGGAGAGCATCATAATACTTTACCAAAGCTCGCCATAGCTACTGCCAATCCACCATACAGGACAAACACCGCCGAGGCAACTTACTCCCCTCTCGTGCTCGAAACATCGGCTACGCAGAGCCGAGCGCGGTGTCGATCCACTCCACTGCGGAGCGGTAGCGGTAGCGGTAGCCGACAAGCACGTTTCTGGGTTGAAGACGGCTAGCCGCCATCATGGACACACGACCAGCCCTGGATGGGTGTGGGGTGGGGTGGGAAAGCCGGACAGCACCCGATTCATAATACGGCCCAGGTCCCCGGCAATTTTCCTTGTCGTCATTTTTTTTTCTCTTGTGACGGTTAATCCTCTGCCATCTTTCTTTCTAATGTTTTACTTGCTTGGCTTTGTGGAGTCTTGAAGATCAAGTGACAAGACTTTACTTTCCTCTCCCTTTCTCTGTCATACCAAGGTGGTTTGTTGAATCGCTGTGTGACCTTTTCCGTCCGGCATTGAGTTCTCGCGCCCTTCAACTGTCGTATCCACATCGGCACCGACTCGGCGAAAAAGGCTCATCAAGAAGGGAGGAAAGATGACCACCACATTACATGATCCGGAAAAGGATTCTTTTCCGCCAGAAGAAACCAAAAACCACAGTCGCGGGGAGGAACGGAGCAGCAGCAGCCAATCGAGCGACAGCGAAGATGAGATTACAGAAATTGGCCGGAGGAACGGAGACCGGTCCCGCAAGTCTGCCGAGGCCGAGGCCGATGCCGACTCGGAGGGGGACGGGGAGGTGGAGGGAGAGGAGGGGGACCCATCAGCCGGCGACGCCCCGGCAAGAACGCGGTCCCGGGCCTCCTCCACCCGCTCCCACGCCCTGTCCATCGTAGCCCGATCTAAACGGCGCGGGTTTCTCGCACAGCTGACCACCATCCCGGAAGTGGATAATCCGTATAATTATACCAACAAGACGAAATGGACAATCACCTTGATCATCGCTCTCGCCGCGGCCGTATCACCCATGGGCTCATCCATCTTTTATCGTGAGTACTACCCTATATGGTATCTTACCTTGCAATTCAGGTACCATATACTAACAAAACGAAGCCGCCCTCACCGAGATGTCCAAAGAATTCGGCGTCACCCCCACAATCACCAACCTCTCGGTAGCATTCTACATGCTCGCCATGGCAATCTTCCCCCTCTGGTGGTCCTCCTTCTCCGAGACCCTCGGTCGCCGCACAATCTACCTCCTTTCCTTCACCCTCTTCGTCCTCTTCTCCATCCTCTCTGCCGTCAGCGTGAACATCGAGATGCTCATCGTCATGCGCCTCCTCGCCGGCGGCGCCAGCGCCAGCGTCCAGGCCGTCGGCGCGGGAACCATCGCCGACATCTGGGAGCCGCGCGAGCGTGGCCGGGCCATGAGCATCTTCTACCTCGGGCCCCTCACGGGTCCCTTGCTCGCGCCCATCATCGGCGGCGCGCTGGCGCAGCGGTTCGGGTGGCAGTCGACCATGTGGACGCTCGCCATCTACGGCGGGCTCGTCCTCGTCATGATTCTCTTCTGTCTGCCCGAGACCCTCGCGCGTCCCAGACCTGCTGCCGCCGTCGTGGCACCACAGTCTCAACTCGCATCAGAAGGCACCGAAAAGAACGCCCTCGCTCGCACGAAAACAACCGAATCCGTAAAAGTTCACTCCAAAAAAGCAGCCGCTTTCTTCAAAAAATCCTTCATCGATCCCCTCTCCGTCCTGCTGTACCTCCGCTTCCCCCCCGTCGCCATAACAGTCTGGTTCGCCGCCGTCACGTTCGGCGCCCTCTTTGTCGTCAACATCTCCGTCCAGGCCACCTTGTCCCAAGCCCCCTACGGCTTCAGCGAGCTCATTATCGGCCTCTTTTACTTCCCCGCCGGCCTGGGCTACTTCCTCGCCTCCCTCCTCGGAGGGCGCTGGCTCGACGTCATCATGGCGAGGGAGGCTCGTAAGGCGGGCCGGTACGACGCCGACGGGAAACTGATCCTGCTGCCGGAGGACAGGATGCGCGAGAATATTTGGATCGCGGCGACGGTGTACCCGGCTTCACTCATTTACTACGGCTGGGTGGTGGAAAAGGGCCTGTTTTGGTTCGTGCCGTGTATCGGTCTCTTCACGTTTGGCGCCAGCTCGATGCTCGTCTTGTAAGTGCTTTTTTCCCCTTCTTCCCTTCTTCACCAATGATATCCAGTTCTTTACTCTACATCTTATCTCGTCCGGCTCCGGCTAACAATTGCTCCAGTGGCGCCGCCACGACCATGCTAACCGAGTTCATGCCCAAACGGAGCTCGGGAGGCGTGGCGGTCAACAACTTTGTCAGAAACATTTTCAGTTGCATTGGTGCGATTGCGGCGCAGCCCGTTATCAACGCCATCGGCAACGGGTGGCTCTTTACGATACTAGGCATCTTTGCGTGGGTGTCGGGCTATATCTGCGTCTGGACCCTCAGGAAGAAGGCCCCCGAGTGGAGGAAGAGCATGGACGCGGCGTTGAACAAATGACGAGATTTTACGATTTGCTTGTCTTGCGTCCCTCGAAGTCGCATTCATAGAATGACGATAGCGGGCAGGCAGTTATAGAAGTTTTAAATAATAGAATTTTGTTACCTGAAATTGTGTATGCTTCCGGAGAGACGAGCCAATATCACACGCATCTCTCTACGACGCCCTTGCGCCCGCAGCTTATCATCACTCCCTTTGTATATCATTCCCTTCCCCCTCTCGCACCAATCACCTCAACACCACTACCACCCATCAAGAAGTCGCCTGCAGAACGGTGTTGACCCCCCTCTCAGCACAATACTTGGCAACCTCCTTCCTCAGCGTCGTCTTCTGCCTCGCAACAAGGTCCATCACATCCCTCATCTCCTCGCCCAAATCCCACTCACCCTTGGCGCCGCCAACAGCCCCGTACAAATCCTCCATCTCCACCAAAATCGCCTCGAGCTGGTTCGGCAACCACGTGACAATGGGACTCCCGCCCGTGGCCGTCGGGTGCGACGTGCGCTTGAGAATGTACTCGCGCGCGAAGCACCAGTGCCGCCAGCGGAAGTCGCGCACCTGGTGCAGGATATGCAGCCACAGGCGGCGGGACTCCTTGACGGCCTCCTTCTCCTCTGCATTCAACCCGTCGGCGGAGAGCTTGGTGGAGAGCGCGGCGTCCTTGAGGCCGACTTCGAGGGAGCGGTCTTTGACGTGCATGAGGAACTGGCGGTGGTTGCTGGGGCGGTAGGACCTGAAATCTTTCAGGATCTCGGTGAGCGGGGTGTCGGGCATGGGCACCTGGAGCAAGTTGTCCATGAGGGGCACGATGGAGTCGTTGGCGCCCGACTCGCCGCGGAAGGACATTGGCTTGCCGTCGTTTACGCCCTCGTAGACGACGCCGTTGGGGAACATGGATTGGCTGGTGATGCCGAAGATGAAGGTGCGGAAGCTGGTGTAGCTCTGCGGGCGGGACTTGTCCCACATGGTCTCCATTGTGTTGTTGATCTTGCGGAGGGCGGCGAGAACCTCGGACAGGCCCTGGTTGAGGGCGGCACGGTCCAGAGAGGGGACGGGAGAGGTGGTGGGCACGGAGGAGCGGAGGGCGGCCATTGTGCCCTTGACGAGGGGCCCCGTGTTCTTGACCATGTCGATGTGGACGAGGACGAAGCCTGCCTCGGAGGAGGTCGGGTCCAAGCCATGCTCGAAGGCGCGGATGAGGCGGATGTTGGAGTACTCCATGCCTTTGGAGGGGTCCTCGAGGCGGTAGTTGTAGAGGGCGTAGGAGCCTGCGTATTCCATCCATGGCTTGAAGCCGGTGCTTTATGACAGATGTTAGATCTGGATTGCCAAGCATCACATGAAGAGGAAGAGATAGAGACAGAAGACTTACAGCTCAGCGCAACGAGCAATGGGCATCGAAATGTTCCTCGGCAACACATCCCTCGCAAGCCCGTACCCTTCACCGCGGACAAACCGCTCATGGCACGGCTCGAGCAGGTACGCGGAAGCGAGGAACGAGTAGTCGCGGTACAGCGCGTTCATGAGTGGCAGGTTGTCCTTGTACTGGTCAATGGCGTCCGTCAGGTCCGGGAACTCCGCATCGACGGTCTCGCCGAGCTTGGAAGACGCCAGGAGACCGGGCGTGCCGTCGAGCTTCTTGACGGGCATGCGCGCGAGAATGTCCTCGAGGGGCGCAAACTCGGCGGGCAGGACGGCGACGGGGTCGGCGCGCGGGAGGAAGCCGCGGGTGGTGGAGACCATGAAGGCCGGGAGGGAGGTGTCGGAGGCGCGGGGGTCGTCGAGGACGGGGAAGGGGGTGGAGTCGATTGAGCCCATTGTGGTGGATAAGGTTGATTGAAAACCTGGGGATGGATAGGGGTGTGTAAGTGTGTGTGGGTTGGAATTGGGATGGGTTGGGGGAGATGTGTGTAAAGGGGGGATGTGGGTTATGAAGTGATGATGGTGTGGTTATGTGTGTGCGAGTGTGGGATGGATGTCTGGGCAAAAGGGAAAATGATTGAGATTTGGGTTGGTGTAAGTCAGACTCAAGATGAGCTTCACCAAAATGCGTGTAAGTGAGATGGGTATGTAAAAGTATGCGGAAAATTCGCAAAAAAATGCCAAATAATTTCCAATCGAGCTTTCTCAGTTGCTTCTCAATGCAAGAGTGCTGAATGAGTTGGAGTGCAAGTTTGTTTCGTTGACCTGCCGCCACTCGGCGCCGTGTATATAGTTCGTGGCCGGAATCGATTCCGGCCTCAAGTGAGGGGGTTGCACCTCCGGCCATGACACGAATCCCTTTTTCCCTCCACCCCCCGTCCGTCTCGTCCGTCCCGTCCAGTCCGTTCCCTTATTTCTGTTTGTCATATCATCCTAATCTCTGGTCACACGGGGTCATCAAGATAGCCCAGACCCGAGATTCGCTCCCACCATCTCGTCTCCTTCATGCCAGCCAAGCCCTTGCACTCCATGATAAGCACAATGCCTCTGCACCTCACTGGTTCGCGCACTTTGGAACATGCCCACACCCTGATGACCTTACATGCATTCCTTTCCTTTTTCGTGAGGTCAAGGTTTTTTTTATCGGCGTTGACATTGTTTGTTGTTGAAGATGCCGAAGTTTTGTGGTTCTCGCAGGTCCGGTGCAGGCGCGCTGGGGACTGGAGCGGTGGTTGAGTATTGACTTTCTCTAGCCCCACTTATTGACCGATTATTGCCGGCGTGGCCGGAACCGTTCCGGCCTCTTGGCACACGGACCCGGACTGTTTGTTCCCCTTCGGCTGAACTGGACTGAGACACTAACAGGTTTCACACACAAACAATACTGATAATTGTTAAGATAAGAGGATTTAAAGTCGCACTGTTGCATTGAAAGGAGTGTGCCCATCTAGTCGTTTCATAATAATTTCATCCAGTGTGCCCGCCGCCTGTTGAAGGTGCGATACACAAAACCCGGTCCAAGAATTTCCCAGCTGTTGCCGTTCTGGTAGTTGAGATGCCGAAAAACAGCGTACATATCTATCTCTCCTCGCATTCTTCTCCGTCCAAATGCTGGTCATGCTTTCATGCTACTATGCTTCTCATGCCAAATGAATGTCGTAAATAAGTCGTGGAAATCATTATCCAAAATTCGTCCATCATAATGTGTCGTTGCCCATTCTCATCGTCATCCGTGGACGGTCTCTCAATCGTCATGTACTGCGAACTGTGAGCCAAGGCGATCTTCGCATGTGAGTGACCGCATACCTTTCGACGCCATCCGACGCCGTCAAATGCCCTCTTCGTCGCGAACAAAGAGGAGCCCAGGGCTACTGGTCTCGTCTAGCGGATCACGACGCTTAACACCAAGCTCCGTCCAGGAATCGCGCGTCGTGAAGCCCACATCGGACTCGTCTTCCTCGGTGGTTGTCCCGTCGAATTGGACCCAAGGCTCCCACTCATCGTCTTCTTCAATGTCCCGAGGCACGGTGGCAGTGACCCAAGGCTCATCGTCCTCTTCGGCGTCAACCTCGACGTCGTCGACGACTGATCGGCGAGCCCCAGGCACGGCTGTCGTTCCGTCCTCATTGACATACTCGGTAAAGGTCTGAGTGATGGTCGTTATGCATCTCGTCCCGGTCGAGACGGACGTCCCGTATGCCGTGGTGAGCGGCCCGCCATTTCGTGTGTTTGTTAGAACGGGGTTGGGGGTAGGAGAACTTACACCTGGGTTGGCCGGACTATTGTCAGTCGCCGTGGGTTGGACAACGGACTGGGCTGGCGACGAAGCAAGTGGCCCAGGGTTGTTGACAGTGTTTGACGGAGCCGGTGCCACCGTCCCGCTTGCCGTGGTGCTGCCAGAGATGATCGCTGCCAACTGCCGCTCGATGGACTGGATGAGCTTCAGGAGATCTTGAAGGTCTTGCGCAGATATCGAGACGCCACTGTTCTGCCGCTTGACGATGGTTGTAGTTTCCTCGGTTTCGGGTTTACGGTGGCCACCGCTCCAGTTTCGCAGGAAGTTATCCAGCTGACTGTTCAGATCCTCCGCGGCCTGGCTCAGAGTTTGGAAATCACTTGCTGAAAGCTGGTTAGAATCGGCATCGCTGGTTCGTCCCCGGAGAATCGCGCCGGACGCGCCCTGGAAGGCGACGTGTAAAGCGACGCAGACGTAAAGAATTTTGCTGATAAGATGCATCTTGGAATGTTTAAGGTGAGTAAGAGATGGTTTCTCTCCCAAACAAGGTCTCGAGACTTCTCAAGCTCATGATATAGCAAGGTGGCGTTGCACACAATGTAAACATAGCAACGCATTCCAGAGGTCATTCGACGGTCGCTGATGCAGATGCATTCCAAAGGTAAATCATCCCTCGGTCATTGACGGATCAACGGTGGCCGTGAGTAAGGGGAAACAACGCTTGTGTCTTTCCAAGAATTGACCTCCAATACCGAAGTAGGCAATCTGCAAGTCGGACAATCCATAGTTTGGGTCACTATCCCCTTCTTTGGTCTTTTTATGGCTTGCGGCGGCGATGGATGATCGGAACGAGGAGACAATCGCATGGCTAGACTGGCCGCGGTGACGAATGTGCCGCCGGCGGAAGATGTTCTCCTGGCAGTGGAGCGCTGCACGCGCGGTGTTGAATTCGAGGATGCACGCACAAGCTTGGCTGTGGAATGGTAACGATGCAGGTTCCGCTTCCTATCGGTGGTGATGATCTGTCGGGCGACACTCGGTACCTGGAGCAGCTCAATCATCCTGAGAAGACAGTCAAAGACCGGATAAATCTTGGCTTTGGGGAATGCCGTTATGAATGTCGACAGCGGCTGCACGGATCTTATGAAACGACGCAATCTACGTAATTGTACGGGTTGGCTTTCTTGCGTTTCTCAGGTATCTGATGGCACTGGATGCTTTCCACAAGCAGCTTGCCGGAGAGGGGGGGGGGGGCGCTGAAGGATAAAAACACGCCGGTTGAATGTTCCTTGGTTGGAGAAGCATCATTGGACTGGCGATGACCAGGTTCGGCGTGCTATGAAACGGGGGAGCCTTTCTTCCTTCAATCGTGTGGCGTTGCACGTTTTTGTACGGATACAGGTTGATCGGAGCTGAGCTCTGACCTCATTTCCATTCAGGCTTGCAGCACCTGGCCTTCCACATCTGCTGGTCTCGGGATGGGTTGTTTGGGAGCTCGAAGCACGATTGGCTCTCACCATGTGGGAATGAAGTTGGGGTTGGAAGCATTTTTCCAACCCGTTTGACAGGGAAGTGAGGCCACGGCAGACGCGGAAGTTCTCGTTGACCCCCTTTTTTCAATTATTAGGGCTTCCCGAGGTCTAGTCTCGCGACTCACGAGGTTCTCTCGGGCGCAGTTGGTCGAGAAGCCGATGTAGTAATACGCACCTTTTCAGCCATGTCGCTGAAAAAATCATGATGCCAGAAGAACCTCAAACTAAATAGACCGTGCAAGTGCATCGTGGGACGTGATATGACTTCTTTCAAGACCTGTCTGGTGTCGCAATGAGGAAGGCAGGCTGTGAGGGTGCCTCCAGCAATCAGCCCTTCTTACCAAAGCCTGTTGAGGATCCAATTTGGTTGTGGTGCAGATGCAATCGGCGGTCGCAAGGTGTCCATCTCGGATCGGCCTGACAGTCGTTCTGCTGGACCTTTCCTCACAGTGCATGCAATGGCATCAAGCCCATCCTATCATGACTACTCATGTTGATAAAGTAAATTACGCAGCTCGTCACCTCGTATGCTGACAACTGTCCATCAGCGTCCATGGTCTTCTGATGCAACGGACACGGATTGCTTCTCGAAGGCGAAATGATGACGAGAGAGATCCCAGGGTGACTAAGGTTCGAGCTCCAACGAGGGATCCAAGGGGATTCCAGGCTCGGCCGGAAGCCTGCAGGTCGCCATCACCAATTCAGAGTTCTGGGCCGACCTGGACAAGTATCGTAGTGCGCCAGCCAAGCGCAGACCTGGGCCCATCGGGTCTGATGAGGATTTGTTAGTTTGAGACTTGAATCTCTGTCGCCTTGATCCTCGCTCGCCGACCCATTCGTGCCGCCGCCAGTACGGACAACCCGTGGATCCCGTAGTGATTTTTTTTTTGTGGCATGGCGTTTTCGCACAAATTCGCAATCGCAGCCTTTGGCAGCCTGCTCAGTTGGTCTGGAAACAACCGCAACGCATGGAAAAGGTCGGAGGGTGAGATAATGTCCCGAATGTCCAGCGACCAAGGCGGGCTGATTGTGTCATGGAGCTGAAGGCTGAGGGAAATAATCTGCGATAGTACATAAAGTCTGAAAGGGTCATGGATCATCGGGTGGTGTATTAGCACATTAGGTACTGGGAGGTATTGTGTGGAGATGCAGGAGGTAGCGTTCTATCGTCAATCTTCGAGTCAAGCGTTGCACAAATGGGTAATAGACTGCTGGACCTTGTCGCGAGGTGTGAAAGTAATGGAAGTGTTTCGCCTTTGCCCTGACAATTGAGTGAGTCGGGATGAATGGATGGGAGGATGGGGATAGATGATGGACGTCCGCCTGAGGCACGGAGATGCGCAGAATGTGAGGGAAAGTCAAGGACTGGGCCGGGGAAAGGACGGGAATCATTGACGGACGGTCGTGACGAGACGAGATGAAGGCAATAAGGGGGAAGAGGGGGAAAGAAAGGTGTGGTGGGTGTGTGCGTGTGCTTGTGTGTATCTGGAGTGGATATTACTGAGGTGAGCTTCCATTCTCATCCCGAATGTCCTGCTGAAGCCTGAGGTGATGGGAGGTCAGATGGCGAAATGGGGAAAGGGGCACTTGGAAGGGAACAATCAAAGAAACTGGTGCCAAGATGCAGCAAGACAGACAGCCAGCCCGGCATGCCTTCCACACGCATCGTCAATCTACCAGTACTACGTAGGTAAGCCAAAGCAAGCACGGAAAGTCCACGTTTTTGGTGGCCCTGGTGTCGGGATTGATTGACGTGAGGGAGCGCGGTGCGTGGATGGCCCCCGGCCGACGGACGGAGGGTGCCGGGGTACGTATCTCGCCTTGTTACCCTTGAGTGTTCACTTCAAGTTCGTGCTTAAGTATTCCGTACTCCTTGAGGTACAATAAGGTACGGTAGGTTGCCCAGAGTCCCGTACAGCTGCACGCAAGATTGTAAGGTAAGTAGGTACTGTGCGGATGGTCCATGAATGGCCCAAGATCCTTGGATGGCAAGGACGAACGAAACTTTGCCTTATGGCTTCCCTTGGATTCTGAGGGACCTCATCCAAGGTAAGGTAGAGTGAGATCTTGGATGGGTGGATGGATTGGATTGGATGTACCTTTGTACCTCTGGAAGGGGGAGAAAAATCCACCCGTGCATCCCTTTCCGGTCACGGCCCCCCCAGATTACTGGTCGGGTCTTCCTTTCGCTTACCCACAACTGCGGCGCTGGTGGCAGGTGCGCGAGAGGAAGCGAAAGCTGGAGGTCAATTCTTGAGCGTGGGTGAGAGAGAGAGAAACGGGAGCCCAGCACCACGCACCACGCACCCAGCACCACCGCGCACCCAACCCAGGCAGCATGAGAACCGTTTATTGTCACGCCGCCTGCTCTGGCGCTCTCTCGAAAATGAGACGCCAAACTTACCAGATGGATTCCCCCATAAAATAAAAATTCTCTCTGTCCCCCTTCTCATCAACCCTTCCACCCTCCCGTTCCATCCATCGCCAAACCCCCATCGCCCATCACCGCCTTGCCTCGCATCATCGCCGTCGACTGTGCGAGTCGCCAACGCGAAATTATCTGCCACCCACGAGAGAGACAGGACAGAACGCACCGCACCGCACCCAGAAGAACCAGAACCAGAACCCGCACCGCACCGCACCAGCTCACCACCAAAACCAACCCAACACACACCACCGCCCAAAACCTTGCCCAGTCCTTTACCCACCAGATTACAACTCGTGGCCCATTGGATCCCCGGCCCGTCCGCCACCCCATTCATCAAAGCAGCTATCTCCGACAAAGCCATTACTACCTACTAAGCTTCCTGACGCCGCGCCGCCAATCTTCCAACTCTTCACCCATCCCTTCCACCCTGAACCAAACTTCGCCCTTACCACCCAATCCATCATCACACAACCCGCCCATATCCATCTCGAAATGGCACCTACCGCATCCGTCAGTCGACGCAAGTCCAATGGAGGCAAGGGCGGCCTCGTTATCACCCTTACCGTCGACGCCGATAAATTGAAGCGGACCCTTGACCCCGACTATGTAAAGGAAGACTCGCCCGTCAAGATGGACGTTGAGGAGACGAATGGAAACAAGGAGACGCAAGAAGCGCAAGATTCTCCCGCCACATCGGCCACCTTGGCAGCTCCTGCCGTCACAAATGGCGAGACGGCGTCGGACTCAAATCCCGGCACGCCTGCTGGCGATGGAACCCCAGCACCTACGTCCATGGGTCCTCCTACCGAGGGAGTCAAGAAGAAGGGTACCAAGCGTGGTGCTGGTGCTGCCAATGGCCTCGGCCCTGATGGTCAGCCCAAGATCCGCGGCAAGCCTGGCCCCAAGAAGAAGGCGAGACTGTATGTATACCCATTTTGTCCGCTGCCTACATCGACTCCTTGCTAATGATATCATGTAGTGAGGATGGAACAATCGACCCGAATGCCCGTGGTGGCGCTGCTGGACACAAGCTGGGTCCCAAGGCCAACCAAGGTGCCATCAACGCCGGCTTACGAGCTCTCGACCGAAGCGGCAAGCCCTGCCGCAAATGGGCGAGGGGCGGTTTCGTCCTCAAGAGCTTCACAGGCATCGTCTGGGAGGTTCCTCGATGGACCGCGCCGCCCAAGTTTGTGCCCGAGCCCACCACCGAGGACTCTGCCGCCGCCTCAGCCGATAGCAGCACCAAGGAGAACAAGGAGAACGAACAAATTAAGAGCGACGCCAATAGTGCCGTCAACAGCGGCGCCGACGTCGAGATGCGGAGCGCGACCGGCAGCGTTCCGGCTAGCTCTCCGGCGCCAATGGCCATCTCTGCCGCTTCGTAGCTGCGTCCTTGCTCGCGCCATTTCTTTTTTGTTTTGGGTCGTCGGGACGTTGAAGAGGGCCCTCGACACATGTTCCAAACAGCTTGGGAGTTATAAGGATCAGGAGGGAAAATGATTGCAACAACCGACCAAGGCTTGAAAGGTCGATGCAGTTTTTGAATCGGAGTCATTACAGGGCATTAGCTCGCTGGCGTTACGGAAACACAATATCATGGTTCAGCGCGGTAGCTGCCATGGGGATTACGGCGTTTGCCTGGGCAGGCACAGAGTGTATACTATCAAGTTTGCGCATGCATGGAACGACTATCGGCCATAGAATTGATGCCATTCCAACCAGTATATAACCGTTCGACTCAATTTGAGTGTGCGATGCATGGTGATTGAAGGTGGCTCGACTCGGTGAAAGGGAGCCGCCTGGATCAGTAGGTGATGGAGGGGGTGTGTCCAGTGCCGAGACCCTCGGATGTGGAAAAGTCCCACTTGGGCCGGAGATGAGGCATGGATGCGAAGTGCTCTGGGCTGAGGAGCTTTGGTTGGGGAAGATGAAGACACCTTGGAGGTTGAAACCCGGAAAGATAGAGTATGCATGCACTGACCATGGCGATTGGTGCATCCTCGGCCATGCCGCGCGGTCAGCTTCGTGCTTTTCACTCCTTCGGATCGAGTGCATCGTAAAACCGTGATGGTGATAAAAGATGCTGTTCGACTATTGCGTCGGGTGTGACTGTCGGTGAGGTAGGCACGGATGGATGGGCTCTGCTGATGCGATTCAGCGAGACATGTGGGAACCCACCATCGGGAGAAAGTGCGCGGGGAAAAAAAAAGCACTGGTCCCTCCCTTCATGATTCCCCCATCAAGATTCGTTTGCCTCTTTGTGATGGAGGCCGGGAAAAGGGACGTTGGTGGTTGGTGTCGGCCACGTGACATTATATAAGCGTCGATTCTCGAGCTTGGGAGGATCTGGCTTAGTAAGGTGGGGAGCTGGAGCACCCATCACGGAGTCCAGACAACCTGGATGGAAGAGGCACCTGGGCACCTGGGCACCTGGGCACCCGGCAGGCTGTGGCTGGCACGTTGGCCGCTGTTTCCCGGCAGCGGCGCACAGTGCTTCCTCGACTGCATGACGACGACGTTTCTACTTCCATTCCCAATTCTTTGAAGGCGTGCAACGAATGCCGCTTCGGTGACCTTAGCCAAGGACGTCTTTGTTCATCAATGTATCAAACATGATGACTAGGTCGTTTCCGCCTACCTATTCACCTAGGTACTGTAAATGAGACCAGTTCCTGCAGAAATCGCCCCGTCATGCTGCGAACCGCAATCCGGAGATGCTTCCCTCTAGAGCCGCGTGTTTCGCGTCCAAGACAAGCGCAACACAGTCTTAGGTTGCTGTCGACAGTCCACGGGCACAACCTTGGTCTTGACATTCTACTTCATACGGATATACCTTACTCTGCGGTCTACACAGTAACTGGCCAAGCTAGTCCCCGATAGCACCGTGCCAATGATCCCTGACAAGTCTCGCCTGCAGTAGGGAGGATCCTGCGGCTGCTCTGCTCCAAGCTGCGACTGGCTACCCCGTTTGGCGCCCCGACTGGCGGGTTAGCCTCTCCTACAGTGACCTGCTCTCGTGATTGTCTAGGTATGCCTTCCATAGGTATGTAGTAGCGGCGTCTTTGCACTGGGTCGACGGGTGGGACACGCTCGGTCGGAACATGGCCAAGCCAACCTAACTAAGCAGCTCAGCCCAGCCCAAGCCAGCCCAGCACTGCACTGCACCTCACCCAAACCAAACCCACCAGCACACCAGGCCCTCTCCAGTCTTAGCCCGGGGGGACGCCTATCATTCGTCCGCGCACTGGACCTCACCTCCGTCACTGCACCGCATCGTACCGCACCTGCGCACTCCACACGTTCCGTCCACCACCACCAACAACAACAACCTTGCCTGGCCTGTTCTTCCCCGACCTCACGTAAGGTACCTCGCCAGCAAACCCGCTCCTTGCCGGTACCTCACCTCACGCTGTCACCTGTGTGCCGCCCACGTACTCCACACAGCGATAGCACCCCGACCTGACCTCACTCAACCCCCATCTTCCGACCTCTCATCACTGCGTTATCATGATAATCGAGCTGTCCAGCGCCGCATTTTAGCCCCTCCTCCTCCGAACGACTCGTCTCGCGCGGCTGTTTCTCACTTCCTTTGCTACACCGGAATGAACCTTGACTAAGGCACTTCACCGTTACCCGGCAAACCATCCCCACACCCACATCATAGTAGTGCCTCTCGACCGATCTGAACCTCCGTCTTAGCACGCCATTCCGAACCCGATTGCTCCTTGGACCCCCGACTAGAGTCCCGTCACTCAGACCGACCGCCCTTTTAGACCCATTCGAGACCCCAATCACTCGTTAACCAGACAGAGACACGCCTGCCACCGGATACCTCATCCTAAGAAGCTCGGACTGCGGCTTCTCGGGGGCATTGCGAAGCTCCTCTTTGCGTACGAGACGTCACGGGTGCGCGAGCTGGTCGACCCCTCTACGAACCTCGACCCCTCACCATGACGAACCCGTTCCATGGTTCTGCACATTACACGGAATCCAACACACCTACGGGCAGCTCTGGTCTTCTGCCGCGCCGCTTCTCCTACGCTTCAGTCGCTTCCGGAGCACCACCAAACTATAACCCGCCCTACCTCTCCCACCCCGGCCGAACTTCGGTCATCTCCCAGATTCTCAACAACTCCGACGACATCACCTTCGAACCGGCCTCAACCTACCACGAATCGAGCAGGGGCGGCGACATGGACACGGACAGGAACGGTGCCAGTCTGAATGGCGCGTCTACGCGGTTGTCGCGGGGTGCCAACAACCTGCCGTCCTTTTCGAGGGTCTTTGATATGTACATGGCGAACCCGTCGAGCGAGAATGGAGGGCCAGGGGGCGCAAGCGGACACGGTGGTTTCTTCGTGCCATCGTATTTGACTGGATCGACATACGTACAGCGGCTAGAGGAGGCGCACTTTGCAAAGGTGCAGGCGCAGAAGGAGTCCCAGACGGCCCAGGCACAGCCCGGCGGAAACCTGACGACGAGCGCGAGCAGCGTCAGTCTTCACAGCAAGCCGGCTTCGCACCGAGGAGTGAATTACGACGTCATCGAGAAGACCGCGGCATTCGAGGACGATGAGGCGTTCACCCCATTACCTATGAGGTGGAACAGGGACGACAAGTACGGTGCTCTCGATATTCTTTCAGACGGGCTTGAGGTTCGCTACATTGGGCCCCGGGGCCAGACGGAGCGGGACCATGAGGCGTTTAGTATACGTGCGGACAACCCGATGCCTCCGCAGTGTGGTATTTACTATTTCGAGGTTCAGGTTTTGTCAGGCAAGAGAGACGAGTAGGTTATGATCTCTGTTGTGAGATTTTTGGCACGTATTCTGACGTTTGGTTAGCATGACGATTGGCATCGGATTCTCTGCCAAGACTGTGGCCCTCTCAAGACCTCCAGGCTGGGAGCCGGACTCGTGGGGCTACCACAGTGATGATGGACACTGTTACGCTGGGCAAAATGGCGGCAAGAACTACGGGCCTCCGTTTACTGCGCCTGACGTGATCGGCTGTGGTGTCAACTTCCGCACCGGCTGTGCTTTCTTCACAAAGAACGGCCACATGTTGGGTATTCTTGATCGTAACCCAGTCTCTCACTCTTATCGATGATTGACTCATTTTTCTAGGTACTGCTTTCCGCGAAATTGGAAAGGGCAGCAGCCTCTATCCAACAGTCGGTCTCAAGAAGTCAGGAGAGCACGTTCGTGTCAACTTTGGTCAAACGCCCTTTGTTTTCGATATTGAGGGCATGATGACGGTCAGTTTTGTCCTTTCCCCCACCTCTACTCCCGAATGTTTCTACATTCTGGTTGTCTTGTGCCTACCATGCTGTTCTGCCCCCGATTATCCCTTGTCTCTTCAAGACTCAGTAGCCTGCACCATCGGCACTTGTCAGCCGTGGTCTACTGTGGATACATAGCATCAGGATCTCATTCCAGTGTCACTATACGGGATCCTTGTTAGTCTTGAGGGAAATATCACTAACTATTCTGGCACCACAGAAAGAAAAAGAACGTATCCAGAGGGAAATCTCGGAAACAAGTACAGCAAGCTTAGCGCCAGCGATGAACGAGACAGAATTGATACAGGCGCTCGTCCTTCAGTTCTTGCAGCATGATGGTTATGTGGAAACGGCGAGGGCATTCGCAGAGGAAATTAACGCGGAAAAGAAGGCACTTAGTCTCGACCCGGATGCTCCCATCGAAGGAATTAATGTCAAGGACGACGAGCATGCCAACAAGCGCCAAAGTACGTCAAGTTCCTGGCGAGGAAGTCGTCCGTATGCTGACAAAACATAGGAATTAGGAGAGCTGTGCTGGAAGGCGACATCGATAGGGCGCTGAAGCACACCAACGCCTTTTACCCTCAAGTTCTCAAGGATAACGAGCAGGTCTACTTCCGGTTGCGCTGTCGCAAGTTCATCGAGATGGTCCGCACGGCGGCTGAGATGAGGGCTGCGGCAGAGTCCAAGAAGAGCAATGGCCATGGCGGTGATCTAGGCGCGATGGATCTCGATGCTAATGGCAACGAGAACGGCGCGTGGGATCAGATGGACACTGAAGATTCCAACGAACCAGCTGTCGATATCAACGAGCTCGAGATAGCAACTCTGCTCTACGGTCAGGAGCTTCACGCCGAGTTCAAGAACGACCCTAGGCGGGAGGTAACGAAGCACTTGGCGGATATCTACGCACTGCTTGCCTACGCAAACCCGCTCAAGGAGAAGGACGTCGCACACCTCCTGGACAGGAAAGGCCGACTTGCGGTGGCAGAAGAGCTCAATTCCGCGATATTATGTGAGTCTTCCTGTTACACCGGTTGCATGCTGATTGGTTATTAACGTCAGCAGTATCATTGGGCAAGTCTTCTCGCGCTGCGCTCGAAA